CAAATCACAAGTCTTATTACAGTCCTACCGATATACAAGTTTTAAATAATTATAGAACCATCGTCCCACAAGGCGAGTTATTCAAGGGCTTGGATAAATTGGATGTTCCAAAACAGGAGATCGACATGAACAAAGCGTTTACAGATGCATTTAATACGATTACCAGAATTGGAGTTTTTAATCAGTTTGATAATTGGAAAGCTTATAATAGTAAATGTAAGATCAAGGATGTAAATATATATTTGGTAAAAGCAGAACTGACACATCGCAATCTGTTTTTTAATAATGATACTAATATAGTTTATGGTATGTTTCTTAAGCATTTTATGCCACTTGTTGCATCTGGCGAGTTGTCCATTACTCACTACAAACAGCCACATTTCATTCACAAGGTAGATAATAAAATGTTGGTTGAGGAACTCTGGGGAAAGCGAATAAGCGAAAATATTGAAGAAGACAAGGCAATTAAAAAAATAATAGCCAACTCGATTTTTGGCTTGTTGGAAAAAAGTAAGAACAGCAGTCAGAGATCATTCGTTTTTAATGATCTCAATGAGGCGATCAGCCTTCAGGCAGATGCAGGGGGGAAGTTAAACATGATGAGCAGGAATACTGCCAAGTGGGTTGAAGAGTTTGATGACAATGGCATGTGGTGCCGTGATAGAGAAGTATCTGAACAAAACGACAATTTATATTATATTCTGAATGTGGTTGATAGGTGCGAGTTGTCCAATGGGTTTCGATTTATTAAAGAAATGCTATTGCAGTATCATAATTTTAAAATGCAATGCGCATATCAAAAATTGACAGAGAACAATGTTAAGGTATTGAGTGTCAAATGCGACGCTTTTGTCGTGGACTGTTCGGGTTTTAATAAGTTTGGTTTGAGAAAGACTCAGCAGTTGCTAGATTTTCACGATGGGATCGGTGGGTGGAAATTAGCCAAGACTCGCGATGAGATCCATCATACAGGAAAGCAGTTGTATGAACAGAAGAAGTGTGAATATGTTGATATCCCGATTGTCAAAAGTAAGAGAGTTAACATCATTAATGAGTATGATGAAAATGAATTGGTTGAACTTGTTGAGAAACATAGGTGCATCATGATCAAAGCCAGATTCGCAGGAGCGGGGAAGTCCACCATCTGCAAAAACATGGAGAGACTCAAGGGTTATAAAGTGTTGTTCGTGGTTCCTACCAATAATCTGGGTTTGGAGTGCGAAGTGGAAAGCATCACTGTAAATAAATTCTTCAGTATAGCAGTCAATGACGAGAAGCTAGATAAATACGATCATTCGATGTTTGATGTCATTGTGTTTGATGAGATTTGTTTTAATAATACCTTTGTATTGGCAAAAATCAAGGGCTTTGTAGAGCAACATATGGCTAACAAAATCATATTAGCTACTGGCGACGCCAAGCAATTGAGCCCCATAAAAGCACTGACTAACACTAAGAAACACGAGATTTATATGAATGAATGTATTGATAGCATTTTTCCCCATCATTTGTTTTTGGAAGAGTGCAAGCGATTGAAGACTCAGGAGGACAAGGATAAACTTAAAAGTATTTATGCCGACATCTTTGAGCATGAGTTGTCTCTACATGATGTCATCAATAAGTATTTTAAATATACTGATGACATCGCAGGAACAGAAAGCAATGTCGCATATTTAAATAACACTTGTAGAGAGGTTTCAAGGCAGATCAGGAAACGACAGGGCAAACAAAATGAGTTTGAAGTCGGCGAGATCATGATATGCAGAGAGTATAGGAAGACAAAAACCTATAAGTTAAATGTGAATTTTAGGTATGAGATAATTAATATTTCCGATCCTTGGATTACCATTGCTAATATCAAAACACGAGAAGAGATTACATTACATATTGGTATCTTGAGAAGTCATTTTATCTTTGCCTTCTGTTATACTTGTCATTCTGTTCAGGGGTGTTCCATTGATGACGATGTCGTGATATTTGATTGGAACCATCATCTGATAACTCGCGAGTGGCTTTGGACGGGAATCACTCGGGCAAGGGATTTAAACAGAGTAAAATTTTACAAATACAGTAGTGATTTAAATGAAGAGTTTAACGCAAAATGCATTATGAATTATTTTGATAGAAAGGTGTTAGCATACAAGGAACAGGATCGTAAAAATGGCTTTGGTATTCCAAAAGAAAATTATGTAGATGCCGAATGGTTGAAGGACAACGTCAATGGAAAGTGTGCAAATTGTGGCTGTGGCTTTGTGTTGTCCATGGATTCTGGTAATATAAATTCTAATCTGACTTGTCAAAGGTTATGTAATGATCTTCCCCATACAAAGGATAATGTCATTGCCTTCTGTGCTTCTTGTAATAGATGCTTCAGTGATAAAATAACATATTGATATTTTGATATTTATTTTATAGTATTATATATATGAGTGAAAAAGACAAGATAATCAGTGAGGTCTACTACGATCGGGCTGGGTTCGGTAGCGTTGCCGCCACTTATAAAGATTCAAAAAAGAAAGATGCATCCATAACAATGCAAGATGTCAAGGAGTGGTTTCAAGAGAACGTGGAACGGAAAAAACAACTGTCTGGATACAATTCGTTTATCGCCCCTGATATCAACTTTGAATATCAATTGGATCTGTTTTTTATATCAACAAATGATTTAGATAATCAAAAATATAGGATAGGCTTATTGCTTATTGATGTATTCTCTCGCAAAGCCGCGGTGGTGCCTATTGCATCCAAGCAACCTGCAGACATCACGGCTGGGATCATGGAGGCATTAAACAAAATGGGAGGGAAGCCCAAATTAATTTATTCGGATGACGAGGGGAGTCTCAATGCCCAAGATCTTGTTGATTTTTTCAAGGACGAAGGGATCCAAAACTATAAAACGCGAGGGCACCCCCATTTCGCCGAGCGTTTCATTCGCACGTTCAAGGACATGCTTTTCAAGAGGGTTGAGGCAGACGAGAAAAAGGGAAAGGTTAATATACAATGGGTTGATTACATTCTTGAGATCATGCTGACATACAACAGTAAAATGGTTCATTCTGCCCACGATATGACTCCAAACGATGCCCACAAAAAGGGAAACCATCTTGAGGTCAAGATGAAGCTTGAGATGAACAGAATCAAAACCCGTAAATATCCCCCTGTTAGGGTTGGCGATGAGGTCAAAATATACCGCAAAAAAGGGATTTCCGAGAAAGAAAGAACGAGCAACTGGAGCAGTGTCAAATACAAGGTTTCAAGGGTTGAAAAAAACTTGGTCAAGATTATTATTCTGTTGAAGGGATGAACCGCCCCTACTTGAGGTCAGAGATTCTCAAAGTTTGAAAGGTCCTTGAACCATTGAATTAGTGCAAGGTTGTCCTTAGTAAGAGTGCAAGTTTTTTCTTGGAGGGGGGCAAGATTTTTCTTGCAGGCGTGCAAGGTTTTTCTTGCAGGGGTGCAAGGTTTTTTTTTTAATGGTGTTTGTGATAATATTTGTCAATGTATGATATGTGATAATTGCAATAAAATTATAAACGAAATTGATGATATGAATAGCAAATATATTAATACTAGAAATGTTAAAAATATTGATGAAGATTTAGAAATAGTTGTGTTTATTAAAATGAATAAGTTCTTGACTGAAGAAGAGTTTGGAAATTTATTATATAAGGGCGATGAGGAAGGAAATGATAATGATTTTATTTTTAAGTATTATAATCTGGTAAACAGATTATATGGTATGTCTTTTAAAATTAGGCGTTTAATGAAAGAAGCATTGAATAATAATGACTTTTTTTAAGTTGTGAGTATGATGTAGATGAACTTAGTTATACGGTAATAAGTGCAATTAGAACAATGGGCTTGTTTAAAAAGGAAATAGGAAATAATATATATAATGAAAAAACGACTGAGAAAATAATAAACAGAATTGAAGAATAATTTTATAATGAATTAGAATAAAGTTGAACTCATAATATAATTATAACATGTAAACATTTATATGTTATAATTATACTGTACTTTTCCCGTATAAGCCGTGGGGGTGCTTTCCTACATAGGCCTTTCCCATCCGCATTTTGCCATCCATATTTTACTGGGATTGTTTTCAAGATTTGGGTTAACGGTTTTAATTCTCCCTTTTCCATTGGTTAACCATTTTTCGGGGCGAACATAGGGTTGTTTTGGCGGCCGAACCTTGGACATTCCTATTTAAAGAAAAGGCTACTTACTAAAACATGGAGAAGAAGATGTGTACGAGATGCAGGAGTGAAAGGGGAATGGAAGAATTTGTGTATGGATTGAAGTCATGCGACGCTTGTGTTGATCAAAAGCGGGACTACCGCAAACGAACAGTTGAGAAGAACAAGGAGTATAACAAGAATTACAGGGAAGCCAACAGAGAAAAAGTGCAATGTCCACTGTGCGGAGTTGAGATTACCAAATACAAGATGAGGCAACATGAGGCGACGCAAGGCCACAAGGAAAAGCTACTGGAAAATAACTAGACTAGGTTGACGATTAGAATATTTCATTTTTCTAATGGTTAACCAACTTGAGGGCGAGAATTGATTGAAAAATGCCTTTGTTTATTAGACAGTTTGAATTTATTCGTTTTGGTTAAGGGTTGCAGTTTGGATCATGGAGTGGAAAAATGATATTTTGATGGTTGGAAGTTGAGGATGGAAAAATGTTGGTATGTGGATTGATTTTTTTGGCGGGATTTGTTGAGGTGGTATGTAGTTATGATTGTTGTTATTGAATGAGTGTAAGGGTTGGGTTAAAGGTTGGACAAATTAGGCGAAAAATGAAGTTGATGATGAGAATACTGATTTTTCTCATGATTAACTTAGTAGGTGTTTCAATTTGGAGGTTGAAAATGGGGTGATTTGGTATGTGTGTTTAAAAAGTGCTCAAAAGTGTAGGGAGGGGTACAGGGCCAGGATGCTCCCATCTGGACGGGAGAGGCTATGTCTAACTCCCTCCCCCCCCTCCCACCTGAGGCACCTGGCGGGTCTACGTGCTGGAGATCCTTGAGTCGCTGGAGGTGGGCCAGGAGGAGACTCGCCCGCTTTGGGCGAGTAATGTTTCTCGAAATGGGGGAGGGTTGTTCTTTTTGTTGGCTTTGAAGGAAATCCTAGAAGGAAAACCACCTGTTTTTGTGTTGTTCCCCACCCGATAGGAAGGGGTTGTTAGATTATATGTTGGAATCCGTGAGTTTGCGATGCTTCTACACCACCCACCCCCCCACCCAGTTTCCCGCCAGAGCTGCTCGCCAGTGGATCCCGCCCAGTATCCCGCCAGAGCTGCTCGCCACTGGATCCCGCCGAGTATCCCGCCAGAGCGGCTCGCCAGTGGATCCCGCCCAGTATCCCGCCAGAGCGGCCAGTGGATCCCGCCCAGTATCCCGCCAGAGCGGCTCGCCCGGGGCTCGCGCTGAGTATCCCGCCAGAGCAGCTGGCCAGTGGATCCCGCCCAGTATCGGCCAGAGCTGCTCGCCAGTGGATCCCGCCAAGTGTCCCGCCGGAGCGGCTCGCCAGTCAATCCCGCCGAGTATCCCGCCAGAGCGGCTCGCCAGTGGATCCCGCCGAGTATCCCACCAGAGCAGCCCGCCAGTGGACCCCGACAAGTATCCCGCTGAGTATCCCAGAGTAGCTCGCCAGTGGATCCCGCCGAGTATCCCACCAGACAGAGCAGCCCGCCAGTGGATCCCGACAAGTATTTCGCTGAGTATCCCGGAGCAGCTCGCCAGTGGAGGGGGTCCCGCCGAGCCAAGCATCCCGCTGAGTATCCCAGAGTAGCTCGCCAATGGATCCCGCCAAGCATCCCGCTGAGTATCCCTTGCCGGTGGATCCTGCCGAGTATCCGGCCAAGTATCAAGCCGGAGCGGCTCGCCAGCATTCGCCAGTGGATCCCGCCAGTATCCCGCCAGTGCAGCTCGCCAGTCTGTTTTTTTTAATGCCCCGCCCGGCGCACAGTTGGGTTTACATTTCATGTTGGTGCCTTCGTGTCTTGAGTGTACCTTGAGGCTCGGAAAGGGTGATGCTTTTGTGTTGCTTTGGGCTGTGACTAAGCAACTTCGTTTAATCCCCTGCCGGGTTTCTTTTTGGAAGGGGATTGGCTTTTGTTTGATCTCAACGCAAAGCTTGTTGAGCAGTCATAGGCTCCAAGCCACTCAAAAACCATGCTTGAATTCACACAACCGTGTTCACGGTCGTAAGCTCGTGAGTGTGGAGGGTGGGGATTGCTAAGTTTCTTTTTTGAAGGGGGGGTTCCCTCAACACAGGCACACCCAAATGGGGCGGGGAGTCCGGTTCCGCGATGCCTTTGTGGCTTTTGCAGGGAGCATTCCTAGGGATAAAGGAAACTGAGGGACCACTATGTTGATCCAATTTGGATTCGTCTCGATGGGGAAGGCCATCACTGAGGAAGGCGAGCTGCTATGAAAAACCAGTTAGCTGCACGTGTGTGTGAGGAGCTCGAGGAGATGAAGAAGACCCACAAGCTCACAAAGAAGGAGGTCAGGTTAAGCCAAAGATCCCCCTCCGATTGGGCGGGAGGGCTTAAAGGCCAACCAAAAAGCTGGATCTTCTGCAAGAAGAAAGATGATCTAAGCCAACCAGAGGGGATGCTCCGCAGAATGCCTCAAGCCAACTCCCTGACATATCGGGAAGTTCTCCGGCCTAACCCATCCAGGTGGCTGGGTCCAAAGACACCAAGGCGGCAGTGCTGAAGCTGCAAAAGCTCAAGCGGAGCTGGGGCAATGGGTGCCCAAAGAGGCCGGAGTTGCCAGAAGTTACATAGCCCTTGGTATGGGTATGGGTCAAAATTACACCACCGGGGGACCGCAGGCTTTAGTATGTCTCCATTTACCAGGGTTCCATTTTGGGTACCTGTTTTTGACCCACAGTAGAGAAACCACCTTTGGCAGCTGTACAGCTGGGTTTCTACGTGCATCGATATCAGCAAGCCTTTTCGGGTCATTTGCCCATGTATGCCAACGGGCTGAACAAGGGGAACCCTAGAGTGGACATAATCCCAGTGATTTTACACCTGGGTAGCCGAAAAAATGTACTTTACTTTTGGGGGTTGCTTGCTTGCCTGCCTGCCTGCCTGCCTGCCTGCCTGCCTGCCTGCCTGCTTGCTTGCTTGCTTGCTTGCCAGGAGAGGCTTTAGGGGAGGATCAATCAGGGGCTACGGGGCAAGCAACTTAGCCCCAAATCAACCCTGCTCCAGCCCGAGTCAACTTCTAGCAGTGCCACGCAACCCTGGTTGCTGTGACAACCGTCTGGGCGCTGCTGGGGATGTTGCCCGCTGGTTTGGCCCCTCTCCTGGACAGCGACATTCAGATTCTAAGGTTTTGACTGCTGACTACTCAAGCAGAAACCAGCCCTCCGACCCCCTTTTTGGGGCTGGTTAAGGAGATTGGGAAACCACCCAAATCAAAGGGAACACGACAACAAGCACACTGACTGGTCCAGGCTTAACTGCTGAGTTGAGAATGGGGAGTTCCGAACAGATAGGCGGCCTCTGACTTCATTTTTAGATGTTTGGATAAGCTCTCACCTTGGTTTCAATTTGACTCAGTTGGTACGCTTTGGTGCTCTACTTGGTGGATTGTTCGGTGCCAGCTGGTGTAAATGTAGCTAAGGTTGCCGCGGTTTGGGATCCTCGCACCGCCATTCTTGCTTTCTGAGTTGAAGTCTTGTCTTCGGAGCCCCGCAAGAAGCTTGCCAAAAACTCATGTTGATTTACAGGGGGTGCCCAATGTGAGATGTCAACATTACTAAGCGAAGGTTCGTGCTGCCTTTTCCACAAGGCGATTCCCAAGTTGCGATTCATTGCTTTGGTGCGGTGAGCTGCGCATTCTGGGGCCACCATTTTGCAGGATTAGATAATTCAGGATTGAAAAACGCCTTTTCTCGGATGGAGACGGATTCTTCGTATCACCAAGAAGCCCCTGCAATTCGGCACGGATGGTAAGTGCTTGTTGCGTTTGCTTCGAACAAACATTGTTTTGGCCCCCCTTTGCAAAAACAACGAGTCAAGGCAGTTGCCATGTTTGCTCTTCAGATCGAGCCAGGAAGAGCAAGGAGATAAGCCGCCTGGCGAAAAACGCAGCTTGCTGCTTTGTGCTTTTGGACTGGTTTTTGCTGTTCGGTGGAAAACGGATGCTTCCCAGCTCACAAGAAGATGCACAGTTTGCAGGGATCGAACCGTTTTTTCAGACAGTCTCCCCGACTGACCATCAGTCTTGACAGGGAGCTTTGATCAATTGGCCAGCTCTTAGTTTGCCACCACATTGCGACGGCACCACAAGGGATGGAAGCTGCATTTCTCCTCCCAAAACAGAAGGAAACTCGAACAAGACAATGTCTGGGTGGGAAATTCAAGCCCGGGTGCTAGGATGGACAAACCCAAGCATATTCATATGTGGCTCCAATGGGTGAGATGTCATTTAATTCCAGGTCTTTTGGGACTTCTGAGCCCACCGGAAACACTCTCAGAACCCTTCCGGTGGAGTTGGTCCCTACAACTCTGGATGGAGAAGCCCCTGCGCCAGTTGCTCAGTTGGCAGATGGTTTGTCCCAGATGGCTTCATCCATCTCAACTGGTGAGAAATCGGCTTTGCCCGCAGAAGTGCCAAGGATTTGCTTTTGGGTGGGCCGATTCCTATCGGTTGCTTGGGGCAATACTGTTAGCTTCTCATGTCTTCGGATAGCTGGGGCTGGTTCAGGCGCCTGTTGCCCATGCTATCGCCACATTAAGCATGCTTATGTACCCTTTATGCATCCGCAATACATAGTGACTCCAACAGGCAACACTGGTTCGTCCATGTGCGTGTGTGTCCGCGCACCACATCTGCTGGTGAGGTATGCATTACCCAAATATCTTATTGTTTTCGCACATTTAAGTGGGCAAAAGCTGGGGACGTGGTCCTTTGAACTCGTTGTCAGATGCGAGGGCTGGCCCTGTTCCGAGGTGCCTGAGCACGTCGATTTCGTGAGGGCTTGACATTTGGCCGGGGGGAAAAACAAATAGGTGTGTCTCAAAGAGTCGCCCCACCGTGGCGTTCTCCCCCCCAATATACTTACCCTCAAAAGAACTGATCCGCGGAGCCAAAGGCACCCGCCAGCGCCTCAAGGGACCAATGACATCCAGATGTTGACGTGATGTCCTCTATCCGCGACCAACATGCGCTGATTTTGATGTCTCATGTTCAGTACTTTCAGCAATCTCATGTCCCTTGAAGGCGCATGTGATTATTTTTATGTATTTGCATATAGCTTGCGGCCCTGTTGTACAGAGGTTCTGACCGCTTCGCCGCTTCGAGCGGGAATGATCCAAATTTGGCTTGAGACATGCTTTGGCAGGCAAAGCTGCCAAAACTAGTTGTTAATCCTGTGCTGCTGCTTTTGTCGAAAGCCACTAGAACCGCCCTGCTTGATAAAAGGGAGCTGCATCTCTCTTATGAGAAAAGCGAGTTGAACTTGCACCCCCATGTCAATGTTGGTTCATGACAAAAATATACAACTGTTCTAGATCCCGGAGGCTTGTCAAGCGCTGTTTTGTCAGCAATGCCTGCATCGAATGCTTGCAATTTAGACAATGGCTGGGGCGGCTGGGGTGCGTCCCCAATGCTCGCGAGAAGTGGTGCGCACGTTTTTCGGCGGAAAAGGTGACGTGCCGGCGTTCCCATAAACTTCATGTAGTTGAGTGCTTCGAAGGAACCGTGGCAAACTCTGCCGCAACCACCAAGGTGACTTCTACTTCATTGCGCATGGCAAAATCACAGCCTGTTCAATTGTTGCGTTTGCGGTTACAGACAAGCACTGCAGCTGTCAGTCCTCGCAGTTGTTTTAATATTCCGACAAGTGCATTTGCATCGCTTGACCTAGACCTAGATCCAGGTTTGCCTTGAAGTTTCATGTGTTGAAAGGGGACTCCAGCAAGTCACACTTGGCTCAACGACAAGTAGCGGTAGAGGTGCTGGCAGGCCAACTGTGTTGCAAAGGTTCCGTGCTTTTGGGAAGAGCTGGCTTTGGGTTTGCACAGTTCGCCGACTTGGATCCTAGCCGGCGATTCTTTTGCGCCTGTCGAGATCGCAAGTTGTTGAAGGGTTCGCTGGCAGGTTTCTTTGGACTCTTAGTTGAAGTCCAACCAGTTGGAACTTGTTCTGGCCAGTCAAGCCGATCAGTCGGGACTCACTCATTGAAGTTTTGTTTGGGTCCCCTCTATCGCTGGTACGTTAATCCTTCCGGCTTCCGTTTTAACCTGCTTTGTTCGATCCCGAACATCCCGAACATTTCCACCTTGATTTGTTGCTCTATTTCAGGGTAGGCTGAATATGAAATAGAAATTGAACATGTTGCTCTCGGAAAATGCGGGTCAAGATTGGGAGCACAAAGCCGTCGGACAACTCCTCGACACTGTATATTCTTCTCAGGTCTCATCATGGCCCTGCTGCCAGAGCCGGGCGCCCGGATTTACCCATCAACACTTCCCACAACTTCCTGCACAGACATGTTCTGTCTCGCCTGTTGGCGGAGGCTTTTGTTTCGGGTAAAAGGATCGCAGGGGAGGCAAAAAACCGCTGGAGGCTGGCGGCGCTGGCCTCGGTGGGTGACCCGGAGGTGCGCAAGAGCGTGCGGGAGCTGCTGCAGGACGCGGATTTCTGAGGGCCCGACCTTCCGGAGGAAGTATCTAGGGGTCTCTATCCACACACGCACACACACGCACCATGTCCTCATACCTGGTAGATCAATACTGGTGGTTAGAGCCTTGCTTTCCAAGTTTCTGGACGAAGGAAGACCATCTTAGTGGTAAACAGAAGTTGACATGTTTGGCTAGTCTACTCAGGAAGTGAGTGCCAATCAGAGGGACCCCAAAAAAATACTCAATTTCCATTACGACCCAGCCACCCCTGAGCGCGGATTTCCTTGCGGACAAGCCACCCCTGAGCGCAGTCCTCCGGCTCCCATTCTTTATCCCAAGCAATCGATGGTGGAAAAGGCTGGCCTGCGGAGGCAGGTCTCCATATGGGCGGGGGGTTGTTTGGGGGCGCTATGCAGGGCGATTGTTCAAAGCAAGTGTTCCTTGATTGAAAAAAGCGCGGGTCGGTTGTAAATCTGTTTTGCCAACTAGAAGCTAGTGAGAGGGCCCCCACGAAAAGATCCCTGTTAGCCCCAATAAATCATGCGGGTGTTTCCCACATGTAGTACCCCAAAAAGGGTGTGCGTTCCTTGAGGATCGGAGAAACTGGGTTGTTTCAAATTGTCTCCAAATGGGATTCAGAATCTCCTCGTCACTGGATGTTTTGCAGAAAGCAGGGTTAGCCCGTCAATGGGACACATTCTTTTGGAGCCAGATTGTGGGGCCTATGTTGTTGTGCCCGGAAACAACCTATGAAAAACTTGCATTCAATGATGGAAGTCCCCTACCCATTCATTACTCCACCAATCCGTTGGGGAAAACCGATCTAAAGCTACTTCACCCCAGATCAGGCCCTAAGCCAAGCTTTCCAAGAACCCAGAATTGACGCCCGATTGTCCCAATGCCTTGACCCGGTAAACCCGCCCGCATATCCCAAGCAAACCCAAACAGGCCAGCCCGTTGTTTCCGGTTTGCGTGGTTTCAGGTGGGGGGAAGTGCCTTTGGTTTGCTTTCTATTGCAGTAATTTGCATCATTGTGAATTCTGCATGTCAGGGCATTTGTGACCACCAGTTTCGGCAGGTGCCCATTTTTTGCGGATGAGCTCGTTCCAAGCTGGGTGTTCAAGTTGGCACTCGAGTTCGCCAAAAACGTCTCAAAATCAGTCGCCGTCTCCTCTCCAGGGGCAGATTACGGTTTATTTTAGGATTAAGAAGGGGACGGGACATATTGTAATTATGCATTTTTCCAGACGGCTTTGCTTACCGGTTCAGGGTTTGTTGGGTCTTTAGCTCGATGTGTCATTTTGGCAGGACTTAGCCACCTCATTAGATCTTCATTGAAAATAAATAATTAATTATAATGATTATAATTATGAATAAATATAATATATATTGGAAAATCATGAATTACACATATATATATATAGATTTTATTTGGTTAAAGATATTTGATTATAAGAATTATTATATTAAAATATATTATTATTATTTTTTCCCGAAACTATTGCGAAGGGTTTTTTGTACGGAGCCTTTGGATAAGTTACACAGAGCTAAGTTGTATAGAGTTAAGTTGTATAGAGTTAAGTTGTATAGAGTTAAGTTATATAGAGTTAAGTTATATAGAGCTAAAATATATAGAGCTAAATTACATAGAGATAAATAACATAGAGCTAAATGATATAGAGTTAGATGGTATAGAACTAAATTATATAGAGTTAAATTAGATAGAGTTAAGTTATATTGAGTTAATGGTATAGAGTTAAGTTATATAGAGTTAAGTGATATAGAAATAATTTATATAGAGTTAAATTACATAGAGTTAAGTTGTATAGAGTGAAGTTGTATATAATTAAATTATATAGAATTAAATTATATAGAATTAAGTTGTATAGAATTAAATTGTATAGAATTAAATTATATAGAACTAAATTATATAGAGTTAAATTATATAGAGTTAAGTTGTATAGAGTTAAACTATATAGAGTTAAGTGGTATAGAGTTAAATGATATAAAGTTAGGTGGCATAGAGTTAAGCTTAGGCAGAATTTGCATAGAGCTTCGGTGTAAGCAATTATATAAGTTAGTTTAGGTGCGCCGGGGCGGGAATTTGATTTTTGTTTAGGATTGCGATGTTTTGCGGAGATTTGTATGGTCGAGGTTTAAAAATTGAGGATTTTTTATGATTTTTGTGGTATGTGCGCGATTCTCTGCGGAGATTTGCGGTCGAGGTTTAAAAATTGAGGATATGAGGTTTTATTGTTATTTTGTTTTCTCAAAAATTACGATTTTTGTGGTGTACGTACGACCCTTTGCGGAGATTCGTGTGGTCGAGGTTTAAAAAATTGATGATATTTTATGATTTTTGTGGTGTATGTGCGACCCTTTGTGGAGATTCGCATGATCGAGATTTAAAAATTTAGGATTTTTGTGGTCCAAAGGTCGCGTATGGAGATTGTGTGTGTCGAAGCGCTCTCGTTGTGGCGATGTGCAAATTTGTCTTGGTCTTGGCGAATCTTTTACGGAGATTATATATATGGAAGCGTTTTCGTTGCGGCGCCGTATTTTTTTCTGGCTCGCGAAAGGGCGCTTGGAAATTGTCTTGTGGTTTGCGCACTTGTTTTCATAATCCCGTTGCGGGTTTGACTCCCCCCTGGTCCGCGGCAGCTCCGGCTTGAAAATCGTAGCTTTTAAGTACAAACGTAGTATGCGGAGCGTGCTTCTGTAGCTCCGGCTGGAAAATCGCAACTTTTAAGTACAGATGTAGTTCGCGGAGCATAATCCCCGCAGTTCCGACTGGAAAATTGCGACTTCTATGTACAAAAATAGTACACGAAGTACATTCCTATAGCTCCGGCAGCATTTGCGCAGCGCAACTTGCGCAGAATCACTTGCGTAGAGTAACTTTCGCAGAGCAATTTGCACAGAGCAATTGCACAAAATACTTGTATAGAACAATTTGCATAGACCAATTTGCACAGAGCACATACGCAAAGCGCTTACACGGAGTAACTGGCGCAGAGCATTTGCATAGAGCAACTTGTTTAGAGCACTTGTGTAGAACAACTTGCATAGAGCACATGCGCAAAGCGCTTGGAGTAACTGGTTCTGAGCAACTTGCATGGACCAATTTGCACAGAGCAATTAGCATAGAGCACTTGCATAGAGCAACTTGCTCGCGCAGAGCAACTTGCACAGAGCACTTGCGTGCAGTAGCTTGCAGAGAGCAACTTGCGCGTAGCAACCTGGAACAATGCAGCTTGCGCAGACTACTTTCGTGAGAAATCGCGCGGCGTAGTTCGAGAGGAAAGTAGGATGATACGATGGAGCTCTCATGTGATCATACACATTGAGCATGCCGCGCGCAGACACGCTCGCCGTAGCGATATAAAAAGGTATCTCCATGGCTAGATGAACACCTATGGAAAAATGCTGTCGAGCCAATTGTTTTATAATATTGTATATATGTTAAATATATTTGATACATTTATAAAATATATAGGTTTTATTAGTATGAAATTTGGGATTCATATGCAAAATGGTTTTTTGTAAGGCCCGCATCGATATATATTAAAAATAACAATTTTATTGATCGGACATTTTCGGCGTTGTATGTCGGCAAACTAAAAAGCAATCTTATTACGAATTGATTACTATCTTCAAAATATATTGGAATAGGAATGACAAAATATTTTGTATCTATAAATCCTAGCTTTAAAAAATGTGATTTGCTTTTGGATATGTTATGAAGCTTGTGATGGATGTCTGTAGTGGAGATCTTTATTGCCATTTATAAGGAGAAAATAAATCTTAATAAATATTAATAGAATAATATAACTAAGATTAATTAAGAATAGAAATTCAATTATCGTGTTCGTAGCTCTAATTTGAAATTCTGCAATTGCCGATGCAAAAAACCACGCGATGGCAACAAGGGGGTTGTTGGTCCGGACTGGGTTTGTAACGAGGTATGTAATGGCTATATAATGGGGTTTGTATTAAAGCAAAATAAAGTATAATATGTAGAATATGCAATATATATATATATTAATTAAGATATATATTAATTGTAATAAAATCAATATATTATATATATTTATTTGTATATAATATGAGGATTATTAATATTAGATATTTATTTTTATTATTGGATATTTATTTATATTACTAGATATTATTTTAGTTATAAACCATATTTATCTATATAATCTTTAATGAATTAGGATTAAATATTAATTATGTATATGTTTTTTGTGTTTAGATATATCTTGGTATGATAGAGGTAGTCTTTGGTATATGATTGAATTTAAATATATTAAATTAATTAATATTTGATTTCTATTTATTTAATTTAGGAATAATTAATAATATTTGAATATTAATTTACTTTAAAAATGATAGTATATATTTTAATAATATTATTATATTTATATTTAAACAAATATAAATTAATGATATAGTTAAATAAAATATTGATTAATAAATATAATTAAAATATTAAAATTATGTGATTTATATGTTTTATTAATTATGATTATTGGATTTTTTTTTAAATAAATTGAATATATTTTTATAATATTATATGTTTTAATTTATATTTGTTTTTTGTTGTTTTTATTATATTTATTATTTATTAAATTATTTTATAAATATATTTATATATTATATAATTTTATATTATAATAAATATTAATCTAAATCTATAATAATTATATTAATTTATATATTTTAATATAATATATGTAATCGGTATTCTATAATTATTGTTTTGATTATATTATTCTATTATAGAAATAATTATGGAAATAATATTATTTTAATTAGAAATCAATAATAAATCGAATATTTAAATTTATTTAATTAATTAATTATATAGAATAATTGATTTTGAATTAATATTGATGATTTGGAATAGTAATTTGCACCGCTCTTCCCTGGGGTTTAGTTCCTGCGAATTAAGAATACGGCTTTTTAGCGCGGTCCCCTACCTCCGCCGCTTTTTGGAATCCATGGTGTTCGTGGCAAAATTTCGGTATCATTTGCTAGTAATGGGGGCCATAAATGATATTTGATCTCGTCATCACGAGCTAGTGGTTGGAGTCGGTGAAACTAACTAAAAATAGAGGCATCCCCATAATTTCTTGTTTGTTTTAATTAATACATAAAATTAATAATAATACATATTATATTCATATATATAATTATGGTTAGGTCAAAAACTATATATTAATCTATATTTAATATTATATCTATTATTTCTTTTAAATACTTATTAAATATTATAAATACATATCTATATATCAAAATATATATATATATCTATCAAATTATTATTTTTTTAATTTAATTAATTATCTATAATCTGTTTATATCTATAATTCTCTAAATAATTATTTATTTCTATATTTCTCTATCTATATATTCTATTATAAAACCTATATGATTTTTTATAAAATATTTTATATTTATTACAAAATCTATATTCCATCTTATAATAATATCGTATTTGTCACAAAATATTTTGAGAAAATAATATATCTGCCATAAAAATTATATATAATATAAATTAAAAAATAATATAACAATCTCAAGAATAAAATAATTCATTAATTAAAATTAATATATTCCTCAACAAAATAAATAATATAAAAATCATAACGAATAATATATTATAATCCAATTCCCCCCCCCCAAAAAAAATAATATAGATATATATATATATATCAATAATCAATATATAAAATTATAAATATCAAACTACATAATATATTCAAAAAATCAATATTCAAATAACCATACAAAATAAATATCTGTAAACATAAAATAAAATAAAAACAAGACGTATCTAAATATATATATATAACTAATTAAATCATTAATCAAATAAAAAATACATAAACAACAAAATCAACAATAAAATTAAAACAATACAACACTAAAATAAAATCTATAAATCAATACACATAATACAAATATAAAAAATATAAACATTCATTAAACAATTACATATAAAACAATTTATATATATATTTAATATAATCAATATTCATTTATATAAATCAAATTCAAATATATATTCTATTTGTTGTTTTTCTATATCATTTATTCTATTTTTAATAAATTATATATTATACCAACATTCAATTTCTCAATCCAACATCCTAAAATACAATCGGCAATTCAACCAAAATCTTCAAATCAAAATATTTGCAAACACCAACAACAAAACAAAATCGAGAAATAGAATCTCGCCCACCCACAACCCAACACCTCTTTAGGCATGCAAATTACATCATCCCATTCCAAAAAAAAATCCAACCCAAACACAACACCAAAATTTAAGCCAAAAACAATAAACTATCAATATTCAATTCTAAATAATCTGGACAAATTATAATAATTTCTACCTCGTACCTCGAATTATTAAAAAGGTAATAAAATACTACCTCGCAAATTAAGGGTCCACCTCGCACCTCGTATTTTGGCGGGCCTTCCTTGCCTCCTAATTAAGGGCAATTAAGCAGAAACGGCCGGTTTTGACAACTTGAGACCAGTCTCAATGAGAGAGCCGGATTTTCTCAAACATCTGTTTTTTCAAGCTTTTCGAGGCCAACTAAGCAGAAACGGCTGGTTTTTGAGAATTTGAGGCTAGTCTGATTGAGGGACAGAGAAGGGCCGGATTTTCTCAAACGCGTGTGTGTTCAAGCTTTTCAAGGCCAATTAAGCAGAAACGGCTGGTTTTTGAGAAGTTGAGGCCAGTCTTAATGAGAGAAAAAAAAGGCCGGATTTCTCAAACGAGTGTATTTTCAAGCTTTTCAAGGCCAACTAAGCAGAAACGGCTGGTTTTTAAGAAGTTGATGCCAGTCTTAATGAGAGAAAGAGAAGGGCCGGATTTCTCAAACGAATGTATTTTCAAGCGTTTGAAGGCCAATTAAGCAGAAACGGCTGGTTTTTGACAGCTTGATGTGTCTTAACGAGAGACAGAGAAGGGCCCTGGACTTTCTCGAACGTATGTGTTTCAAGTTTCTTCAGGCCAAATAAGCAGAAATGGCTAGTTTTGGAGGACCTTATACCCGCCTCAATGAGAGACAGAGAAGGGCCGGCTCGTCTCAAACATCGGTTTTTTCCAAGTTTTTCAAGGCCAACTAAGCAGAAACGGCTGGTTGTTAGGATTTTGAGGCCAATCTAAATGAGAGACAGAAAAAGGCCATCTTTTCTCAAACGAGTGCGGTAGCAAGCATTTTACGGTCAAATAAGCAGAAACGGCTGGCTTTTGAGAACCTGATGCCTGTGTTAATGAAATTAGGGCTCGAATTATCTCAAACATATGTGCTTTCAAGCTGTTTACGGGGGTCGGAATCTCGCACACCTAGCCACACTTAGCGCCCCGGTGCGCCGAATAACACCCCACAGATTTGAGCAATCCTTATTTCGGGAACCACCTCGTATTTCGGGGTTTGGGGCTCGCCTCAAGCCAATAAGCTCGCTATAATTTGTCTAAAAATAATATATTATATACATTTCTAAATAATTATATATGTAATTATAATATAATTTCATTTGTTTATTAATTCATGTTTTATATTTTTCATATTAACATAATTTAATATATCTTTTTTTAATCTTTAAATATTATTATTCCAATAAAATAATATCCAATTTTCGATTTCTTAAAATACCACCACAATCATAACCAACCCAATCAATCCAATCAATCCAATCATACCAATCCTCCAAAACCAATAAACAACGGTGGCCGGCTGTGTCACGTCAGCGTGAAATAGATATATCGATGTTTGTAGGATTTTCCCTTTTTCTCTCCATGCGTCAAAACGTGTTCTCATTCTGCAACGCTTCAACTCCCTAGCAATCCGCTCAGGAGAAGCCTGCGCACGAGTCAAGAAACTGCCTTTTAGCCCGAGCTTCTTGCCGGGTAGGGGCACTTGAAACGAAAATCATGCAATATGACAAGGCAAAGCTGACGCGAGCTTCAACTCAGCGCCCACTTTTAAAGACCTTGCTGAGGCCACACCAGGAGGAGGTGGCCTTCATCTCTTGCAAGGTAACCAAGATGTCTTCGGCTGAGGGTCGGTCCTCCGACTTCTTATGCCAACACTCTTGGATCAGCGGTCGCAAGACCTTGTGGCATTCCCCGGCATCGGGGCGGGGCTCTGCTCCGGCCACGAACCGGTCCAAGATGTCGCTGGGATGGGCGAAGGTATAGAAGGGCCGCTTTCCGGAGCTGAGGTAAAACATGATGAGCGCGAAGGAATAGATGTCCACCTATTTCGGCTCCCATTTGACGGCCAATTAGAAACACAGTGGACTGGAAAAATGGAAAACAATTGACCAAACTAAGAGGGACAACGACCAATGATCTACTCTCTTGTCATTTTCGGAGCCACCCCGCACCTTCTCAGTGTAGTTGTGGGTTCTCACCACCTCCGGTGCCATATAGGTGTAGGTCCCCACTCCCAGGGTCATAGTGGACAGGCTGCTGTTGGCACGCTTCATGTTCATGGGGCCCTCTTCTGGGCGAAACGCCATGATTTTGGAAATGCCAAAGTCCGTGACTTTCACGTCCAAAGTCTTGGTCAAGAGCAGGTTCAGCGGTTTCAAATCTCGATGGACCACTGGAAAGTTGTGAAGGAAGGCCAAGGCACGAGCAATGGCCAAGCTCCACTCCAGTGTTTGCCACAAGGGTGGCGCATAGTGCGGAGTTTGCTTCTTCCTTCTCATGTCGAACAAGTAGTGCTCAAGGTCACCTTTGGGCATGTACTCAGTGACGAACATGGCTGGCAGGTCAGGCTCCAAGCAAGCGCCCAGGAACAGGACCAAGTCGGGGTGTCGAAGGGACGACAGCAATTGGATCTCATGAAGAAGCTCTTCGGTACAAGCCTGCACGATCTCTGGCTCCGACTTGGTTGGTACCATCAACTCCGTTGGACCATCCAATGCCTAGGGCAATCAAGAAATCTCCCCGGAAAAGTGAAACGATGGATTTAATTCTACAAATATCCTTTTGGTATCCCAAAAGGAAGCCATGGTTCGATTCAAACCTTGGCCCAACCCTGCCTCCAGTTCATCATTGTCCAGTGATAAACAAAGACTCTGCGACTTTCTGAGCTTCTTCATTACGACACGATGCTTCATCTTGATGCACTTCACCACGACCGTGGTTCCATTCCAATCTGCCAAATGCACCACACTCTTTAAGGTGTTTCCAAGTTCCTTCCTAAGCTTGAAATCAGAGGATTTCAGCAGCCAGGAACTCTCCCTCGCCTTTTGTTCCAAGGCGGATTGAAGTTCCACACCACTTGCCTCCAAGACCTTCCGGATGGAGCGGTTCCCAGTTTTCACAGATATGTCCATGGGCGTCATGCCAATCTTGTCGAGGGCATTGGCATCTGCACCATGGTCCAACAAGAGCTGCACCACCTGGGCGCGTGTGTTTTGAGGATACCGTTGTTTGGGCTTCGAAGGGAACCCAAGGAAAAGCAACATTTCGAGAATGCCCACTACTTTGACACATACCTACCTCTTTGGCACCCGCAAACTCACATCCGCAAGCCAAGTGCAAGGGAGTCCGACCGCCGTAGTCCTTGCTGTTGGCATCGACTTTGGCAAGTAGCAGCCTTTTGGCGTTCACTGGATCACCGCTTGCGCAGGCTTGGTACAGCTGAAAGTTGTCATCTGCAACTTTGGCATTGAATTCATCGGGCTCCTGGATCGGCTTCGATTGAGTCGGAGCGTGGTCATCAACATGCCCTAGCAGCACTGGCAAAAAGCCGCCACTCATTGTGACTGGCGTGGCTCTGCTGCCTCTTTTTAAAACTATAGATTGAGCCCAAGTTTTGCACAAGTGGTCGAAATTGAAGATCGACTGACGTACCATGCGCAAGAAACAACCCCCGACTAGCAGCTCTGATCGTCACTTCCAAGCACGTAAGGTCGTTCCGAAAAGCCTTTACGATTTGGCACAACTCATCCCATCCCCTATCCACGATAACTCTAAGGTGAATGGGAGCCAAAAGATTAAATCCACTGATCCACCATTCAGTTCCTGGCATAAGTTCATGGTTCGAAGGGCAGCGTCGGTGCCAGTGCGAGTCTAAAATCGTTCGGACTGTTGCAAACATGCAAGGGTCATAGCTCCTAATCACCCGGGGGGGGAAAAAAAACCGAGGAAACAAAAACAAAAACGTACTTTCATGGACCCAGCAGGCAAGGTGATGGCCTTCACTCAGCCTCAATTAGCAATGCGAGAAGGCATGTCACCGTCTAAGCTGAATATCGGGTAACCATAAACTACGCAACATACTTACATCAATCTCAATGGTATCCCCTGAAACAAACCCTTCTTGACCCCCATCGACTAATCAATCTACTAAAGGCAGACAGTGCAAAATCTGTTTCATCACTCCCAAGCAAATGGGATATGAGTTAGCCAATATTCATTCCATCCCATGACATTGGACTTTTCAGCACCCGAATTGATAATTTGGTAAGCATTTCCAATATGACTCCCTTCAGTAGAGTAGATGACGGTAGATATTCATCGTTTTGCATCTACAGTCTATCTGATGGTTATATAGCACCGCCCCAGTGCTCCCGGCAGTGTTACGGGTGGAGCCGGGAGATTATTTCTCCTTTCAAGTGCAATGCTACGGACGTCCAGCTCTAATCAAGACACGGACCGCCGACCGCCTTTGGCGCTGGCAATGGACAATACTGAAGAAGCACAGGGCCGCCGATGGGTGTCTCCGAATTCTGGAGCTCTCCCAGTATCCTTTTGGCTTCCTACACCATTCAAAGAGGGGTTGCCCGAATTTGTCTACTCTGATTTGGAGCCGTAGCAAGGGAAACTATTGGAGGGTTCTGGCCCTTTATGGATCTTAATGGTCAATAGGTTGCAATGGCTCCCCTTTCTGTGTCTCCGAATCAGAATGTTATCTATTGAGACATGCACATTTTACAGAAGTGATCTTTACAGAAGTGGTCTTGCTCAAATAGAATTGTCACTTGAGAAAGTAATCTTCGGATTTCGCCGCTGTCTCTCTGAGTGGTCATTGGAGCCTGGTGAGCACTTGTTGCATGGTAGCCAGATTTCCCTTAAATTGGTTGTGCCCTTTTTCAATTACATTTTTTGTCAATCGCCATCGTTTCAGCTCTGAGGGTACGCTGCCTCAGCTTTTGTCAAATACGCACATTCACAAGAAAGCATTTTGAATCCCCAAGAAAACATGCTAGTCTTCGTAAATATGACCATTGGCCCATACACTGAAGTAGCGAGATCCCGTCTCCGGTTTGACCTTTTGAGCCCAGGCCAAACGAGCAATCATAAAACATGATGGGCTGCTTTGGTGGGAAATGTAGTGAGTTCCCCCCTGGACCAGAGACTGCTGAGTTTAAGAAAAACATGACCGAACCGCAAGTTGTAATCTCATAGATCTCACAGCTCCAGCGGCACTGTCCAAGAAAAAATCCCGCAGGCGTGAAACTTTTGCAGGCCTTCAGGCTGCACGCCCTCCAGACGGTTTCGATGCGATCGAAACCGATGTGGCTCAAAGGGCATGCGAGTACCAAAACAGAAGAAAGCAAAGCCAGGCGAGCTTGAGGCTGCGGCCGCCGCAAGATTTCACCAATGGGACATGTTAGGTACTGGACAACTCTAGAATTTGAGGGTATGCAACGAAAACACATCTGGAGTGTCGCTCGCGCATCTTGCGCGCTCTGCTCGCGTCAGGGCAAGAAATGTGCCTGCGGAGCAGAGGTGTCCGTGACACCAACTGCGACCAGCAGATCGTCAGGGCAGGGCAGGCGTGGCTAAGTTCTGCTTTGCCTTACATGGTAGTCCAGCAAACTAACCCCTTGAGACCAGGTAGAACCACCTGCAAGATTGGCTGATGCAAAACTTATGGTGTGACTCAGTTTCACATTTCCACGTAACCGAAAACTAAATCAACAAAAGCTGGAGGAGAATCCCAGAGGTGTTGGGCACTGTGCTTCCCGCGCAGCTTTCCCCGGCCTCACCGGGTGCATGTGGTCGGCGGTGTGACTTCCGGCGTCTGAGCCGCCGAGCAGGGTGTGAGCCCGAATGTGCTGCTCAACATGGGAATCGGTCCGAATCCAAAGGAAAACCCTCCACTTGTTGGGGTTCCCATTTCAAGAAACACCGAAAGGGGGGACGGGTCAGGAACCCAAGGATAAACTAATTTGAGGGGTTCCTGAACTTGGAGAAACATGCAAATGGGTGTCTTTTTTTAGGAGACCCGCCCCAAAATTGTGGATTCCCTTTTGGTTTTCCGTTGAACCCACCAAAAAAGGGTGCCCTCAACAAAAGAAACACCCAAATTGTGTCTAACCCGGTTTTATCGAAACACACACCTCTCAAATGCCTGAGCGCAATCCGAGCATCCCGGCCACAGTCATTGCCAGTAAGTGCTCCAGCTCGACCTTCGAAGTGACGCTGACTGCAACCCAGAGGGAAGCGGTGGGAGGCTCGAAGAAGGGACATGAAAGTGCAACTGCATTTTGAAGAGGGCGCGCGTCTGACTGTAGGTTGCAAAAGTCAGATGCACAGTCAAAATATGCGGGAGCTACATGTAATGGTGGACATGGAAAGATTTGGGTGCGTCACCGTCCTCTGAAATTTAGTGGCTTCCCAAGTTGAACATAGACTGTAGACTGGAACGTTTCGCAGACCTCCAGCCATAGGGAAACAACGCAGGTGGCATCCTCAACAGCAACCCCTGGAACTTCTCCGGAACCTGGCCCGGACCACTCGGAAGCTGATCTGGGCAAAGCCCCTGACCCCAAAGGTTTCAGCTGTTGGGGAAAACCAAGGAAACCGACACCAAAAAAGCCAAGGAAACCAACAAAGGAAAGCAGAAGCTCCAACACCACGGCAAAACAAACATGGATGAAACCAACCAACCAACAATCAAGCAAGCAAGCAAGAAACCAAGCAAGCAAGCAAGAAACCAAGCAAGCAAGCAAGAAACCAAGCAACCAACCAACCCACAGCTGTTTGGGAACAAGGCGCCATTTTGTTGGCCGTTTTTGAAGGGACCCCTCTTCCGAAAAGAGAGCGGGAGGCCTCGGATTCTCCCCCGTCGAATCCCTTGAAACAGCCGGGCGTCGCTCCACTTGCTTCGAAAATGATGCTCCAGGTTCATTTGGCTGATTCCGGAAATGGACACCCCGAATATTGTCTGGTTTCCGTTTAAACCCAACCAAAAAGGGCCCCTATTTTTGGAAACACTCATTTGAGTCATAATAAAACTTGTCTAAACCATGATAAAGAATTCGAGCAGCGGCAGGGTCGTCCGACCATCATTTACTCAGGCTTAGCTGCTCAAATAATTCCAACCTTGCTTGGCAATGCTTGGCATGTGGCGCCATACACGCAACATGTATATAACTTCACTAGACCTCACTACACATCACATTCTCACATCATATCACAACGTATCCTATTACCTCACTTCAAAAAAAAACACACACACACACACACACACAACACACGCAACACACACACACACACACAACACACACAAAAAAACACAACCACAAACCACTTTCTCTCCGTCTCTCTCTCTCTCTCTCTCTCTCGCACACGCACACACGCAACAAGCCCTCCTTTCTTTGTCCCCCCAGTCGGCAAAGCAACAATTGAAACGAGGTTCCCCGAAAAGCGCCAAAAGCATCAGGAAGACACGGATCAAAACGAAGGGAGACATGCCATTACAAGCACTCACGCACAGGCACACAAACCACGCGACACATCACGGCGCACGGCACGCCTGGCCACACCACGCACACAAGGCATCACACCAAACAAACGCAACAACCATCACAAACGAAAACAAATCCCAAAAAGTGCTTCCCCGCCCCCCCCCCCCTCCAAAAACAACAACAAAGCAAGCAGACAAAAAAGGAAGAACAGAAGCACTTAACACGCGACGCTTTCGGGACGGCTCATTGCCCTGACTGAGGCTCCTACCCTCAGCGCCTCATTCTCTGAGCGCAGACGGCTGTTCTCCTCGAGCACCTGTTTTCGCCGTGTCCCCCCATTTGTTCCTTCGGGATCCAAACGTTGCTTTTTCTTTTTTATTGTTTTTCTTTGTGGGGCGGGGGGGGCCTGTCTTATTGGGCGGTGTCCTCGCAGAAACCAACTGAAGAGAAACCCGGCCCGGATGTTTGGAACTGAACTGTTGGAAAGAGGCGTGTGAAACAGTGATTCCCAATTCAAAGGTGGCCTCAAAATGTTGGCCTTGAGGGCTCCTTTTTTGTGCTGTTGAAAATGGAGTGTTGGCCAATCCGATTGCTCACAATTCCTGTTGGGAAACCGCTACAAAGGGGAAGATCTTTCGTAGGTCAGGGCGGTTCTTTGGCAACTGTTTCGCAAAACATGTTGAGACGTTTGCAAGCTCCCCAAGAGGATGCAACTACCATTTTAAGGTGCCCATCTGCACGTTTTCCCGATATTGGTCAGTCTCAAAGTCAAAGTGACAAAAACCTCGATTGCAAATCACAGTTCAGGCCGTTGGCCCAGCCAGGCACATCAAGCATCGCGCACCTTAACATCAGCTAGGTGGGAATATGGAAGAATCAAGCCAAGCCCTCGGAGTTCGGGGAGGCCACCCAGAAACTGAGCAATCGCCTCCGTGATTGGCCGACTTCTGCGACATTGGAAGGCCCTGCAAATGACGAATTCTACACTTAACATGGAAGTTGTGGACCGCAAAAGTGGGAAACGACGCTGGCCAGTGAGACAGCCAATCATTGGCCAGCAGGCATCCCCCAGAAAAAGGACCCATTGACCCTCTTTGGCCTTTGGCTAGCAAAGCCGCCTCAGCCCGCTGGGATTGGGGTTAGAACCCCTTTTGGCGAAGGAGAGCCATTAGGATTGCTGTGAACAGTTCAGCCAAATGGGTGTTTGCCTGAATTGGAGAAAGCCAGGTGGCGATTGAGCATGTTGGGGCGGTACTCTCTTTCGAGCCCCATTCACTTTGAGACTGAACCAAATGGGTGTCAAAGGAACCCGCGAAATGGCGAGGTCCATGCCCTAGAAGTCAAAAAGCGAAAAGGAAGGTCAATCCAACTTCCAGCTCTTTCCACAGGTCCATCTTTCCAGAAAAGTAAAGAGTAGACATGCCTTTGTGGACACCTATCTTTTTAACCCAAGTCAATCAACTGATAAGCGTGGCTGCACTGGTTGTACACAACCCCCGCATCATAATCCCTCAGACCTTTTGAGTTTTTTTTCAAGAGGAAATCAGCTGGTCAACGCTATTCTTTCCTGGACCCAAATGTCTCCTTTGAGACCTGTTTTTCACAGTCTGTTGAGCCAATAGCAGCTTGAGTGTTCCCTTACTCCGATCTCAGCTGCGCGGGCCTCCTGGACTCTCTCTTGTACGGTCTCAGGATCCTCCTCAGCCTCCTGAGCCTCCCGAGCCTCCTGAGGTTCGTGAACCACGGTTTGTTTGCTTGTTGCAGTCTCTCTGTTTGCCTGCCTGCACGCCTCTCTGTTTGCCTATCTATCTGCCTGCCTGTCCGCCCACTTGCCTGTCTGCCTGTCTGCCTGGCTCTGTCTGTCTGCCTGGCTCTGTCTGTCTGCCTGGCTCTGTCTGTCTGTACGTTTGGCTTGCTTGCGCGCTTGATTGCTTGCTTTACGCTGTCCTTTGTTTGGCATGCTGTGGACGAGCCTTGGGATGGCAACAAAAGGAAGCAACTGCACGTTCTCCGGGAAGAGTGTGGAGGCTGCTCCATGCAGTTTGAGACTCACCGAGATCCGGATAACCATGGTAACACACAGTTGCACATGGGGTTGTCTTTTTGAGGTGTCCCTTTGGTCTCCTTTTACAACAAGCCAAAAATAGTATTCGGACAAAGGGGCGGAGCCCCCCAATTTGAGACACGCCAAGCTCTCTCTCTCAAGCATCAAACAATTGAGGCATGAATGATTGCCTTGTGGTCATCAATAAACATGTGACCCATGATCTCCATCAATGTGTGCATCATGGATATGCGTTTCGGTGGGCAACCCAAAAGGAGATGGAACAAAATGCATAGCTAGTGGGGTTCCATGCCAACCTGCAGGAGGGTAAGTGAGTTGATGTGTCCCAAACCCCAAACTCACCATACATTGCATCGCTGCTGGACAAACGCTTCGTTGGCGAAAGCCTTTCATCGCCCTGATGCCAGCAAACCAAGAGGCGGCAATGCAAAATCCGGAAACCAGGACTTCGTGTTGAATCCATAAAAGCGAAACAGGGGCCCCCGCAAACCGGTTGGTCTCCTTTTGGCTTGGCTTCTCATACTCAGTTGCCCCAGGAGGTGTCCATGAATTTGGGGGGGCACTCCCCCGTTTTGGATTCAAAGGAAATGAACACACCCAGCCATGTTTGGAGGTCCCCAAGTCTAGTTTGACATCCCCTGTCAATATCTCTCGGTTCTCTTTAGTCTCTCTTCAAACATCTCTTTAGAGCTGTTCCGGTTGAGATGCACCGTCAATATTCGCTGCGGTCAGCTTTGGAATGCTAGAACCATAGACGGAGCTCTTTGTCTCATGAATCATGAACAGCCTCCCAAGCAGCTCATGACTCCCACATTAGGCTACCTGCGTGCATGGTATGCCTTTGATTCAAAACCTCTGACATGGCCATGGGTCAAAATCCCAGTGAACATCCCAATCCCCGCTAAAATAGACTAAAATGGGTGGTGCACCTACCCAACATGGTACCATTGGTTTTGAGCCACAGCCACATTAGTCCCCTCAAGTTAACATGCAACCCAAGAGGCTCCCCAGATGCCTTCAAACGAGCGATGCCTCCTACCTTCCATGGCTCCCGGTCCTGGGCCGCCGCTTTCCCCTAGCCAGCGCGCAAAGGCGAGCTTGAATACAATTCCGGGGGTTCCATATGTATGTGTCTTTGTTCGAGGGTACCCCTTTTAGGGTTGGTTTAGAGGGAAACCAACAGGAAACCACTTGGAGGGTCCCTAAGTTTGAGACATATCCTGAACCCATCCCCCAGCCTGGAGCCTGGCGTTTCCCTTTTGCCCCCTCGATGGGGGCTACCACAGGGCCGCGTTTGGGGTTGTCCCCATTCTGACCATAGTCTTAACCTACTTCCTGAATGCTATTTGTCTAAATGGGGGAACCCCACACAGACATGGCCTCGCGTGTTCCTTTTGTTTTCCTTCAAAGGTGAAGGTGTACCAACTCACAAAACACCATGTCCCAGGACTTGGCGGTTTGGTTTAATTGTTTGGAGCTTAGGGGGACGTTTCAAGTTGTTTCCCATTTAACCTCCACAACAACAGGGGCTCAAATCCACAAACCACCAATCCACACCACCAATTTCAAGGTGAATACCCAAGTGTGTCTAACGTCCGGCAAACATCCGGCAAAAAGCTGGGCGGATGATCGTTTCAGCCCCCGCCTCTGGGGTTCCATCGCTGTGCTGGTCCATGGTGGCCTCGCTGCTGCCCTTTACCGCCTGGAGCGACAGGCTGAAACCTCTGGCCCATGTTTGTCTCATAGCTGGGCTGCCCTCAGATCCCCCGCTAAAAGCTTAACTTTTAGTGGTTTAAATGGAAACTATCACTACACACTACAAGGCTAGAAAGCTAAGGGGATGGCTGGGAGCCACCAAGATAGGATTCGCAATCCCTAGAAGTACGCGCTGCTGATCTTGCGCGGCAAAAATCCACTGACTCACCGGCAACATTCTCCATGGAGGAGTATCTACTGGGGGGTGGTGGTGGTTGGGAAGATCACACGTGTGACAAACCATCACGTCGTCTTCCAGTAGTCTTCTATTCTTCTCTCACATCCCGCGGCCCGGGGGGGGGGGGAGCCAAAATTGGCGAGTGGGAGGAGATTGACCAACGAGTCGGGGAGAGGGTTCTGCGAAGCCAAGTGACTTTGTCGCACAAATGGGTTCTTCAACTCCACGGCAGATAGCTATGCAAAAATGCATCCAATGTCAAAGGCTTGGCCATCCCAAGCTAAAACCTGTCGGCCGGGATGTCTAACACGCCGAGATCCAGGCTTGACAATGAAGGCGCCGACACCAACCCTCACACAACCCTTCAAGGACCAATGAGCGAGTTTGCGACTCATGTGTCCGCACAAAAATGCAACCCGACATCTACTGGCTGGAAAGCCTGCGCGTTTGTCTATTTTCGGCTTTCATTCCCAGAGTGTAATCAGGGGTGCTCCAAAGCCAGCACCGCCAATGTTCTATGCGGTTGAGTCATGGTCGGAGCAACCGTCAGGAGACGCTGGACCTTCAATACGTGGGCTCTCTATAGCAATTGGGCTTTCCTGATTCAAGATCCTGTGGCAGGTTTGGGCTCCTCTGAATCCGGAAGGCCAGCCTCCTGGAAGGTGGTCTGCAGCCAGGAAGCGGCCTGACAAGCAACGATTCGGATCTCGTCGAATTCGTTGCGGGCAATAAATAACCTCTTATTCTCTTTTAAACGCATTTCCAGTTCCTAGGAAACACGAATACATCTGCAGGATCACACCGATCAAGGATGATCCATTCAGATTCGGTGGATTCCTTGCACAAGTACTGGGTGCATGAAACTGACACCCTGACATCCTCAGACTCTTTGAACGGTAGTTAAAAAGGGGCTTCCGGACCTTGCAAATCCACATGCACCCCAAAACACATGTTTGGAGAAATCTCCTTTTGGGGACCCCTTTTGTAGCTTTCACATGTTTTTGCTTTGTCAACACTCAAGCGCCCAGTGGATAACCCTTGCCCGGAAAGGAAGAAGGAAGCAAACCACTAATTTTCTGAACTTGCAAAGTGGGTTGAGCATCCAAGTACTGGAATTGTGTCAAATTAAGGATTTAGTTTGGACCCCCAAAATAGTGGCTTTTCTTCTGACGGGGTTGTCAAAATTAGGGCACAGTCTTTCATCCCCTTTTAAAGGCGGCTGCAGCGGCGTCAGAGTCCAAAAAGGAACCGGCCATAGTTTGACAATGCCCAGTTCTGCGCTTGAGCGGGCTGAACATCCAACTGGAAATGTGTCAAAATCGTCGATTGTGTCGTTTTTTGAGGACCCCCCAAAAAAAAACAAGCATGCGTGGCTTTACTTTTGCTCTCCCCTTAATCCGCCCCAAAAGGTGTTCCCCAAAAAACGACAGCCCCATTTGGGCACCTTCAGATACTGGTTTCCTTTTGGCTTCCCGTGAAGCCCGCTGGCTCTGGCAACGGTCCCATCTCTCTGAGGCTGGCACTGGCGGATTTGCCACCGTGCTCTCCACCTCCACCTCCGCCACACTGTCAGCCTTGATGGCCTTCGAATGACTCGGCAGTCCGGAAACGGAAATCAAAGTGAGTGTGTGTTTGATTATTATTATTATTATTATTATTATTATTATTGTTATTATTGTTATTATTGTTATTATTATTATTATTATTATTATTATTATTATTATTATTATTATTATTATTATTATTATTATTATTATTATTATGTTTATTTGTTTAATATGTTGGTTTCCCTTTCAAGCAACATCAGAAAGGGTTGATCGGATCCTGTTGGACAAAATCAACAACAAAGTGGTTTATCAACCAGTATTTGTAGGGATTTATCCATCCCAACTGGTGCAGGATCTCCACAGAAAGGCCGCTTAGCACAAGCCGGAAAACGACCAAAAGCCGCATCACCTCCATTGCTGGCATTGCCTACATCACTGACATCAAGCGAATGGTTTGAGAGACTTCTTGTTGCGTCATGTAAGCAACAATAATTGGATTTGGAGCTCTGCAACTGGGTTGCTCGTGTTCTCCCGACTGTACCCCGCCCAAATAAAGCAGAGGCCAACAAATTGCATTCAAAAGTTGCCACCGCAACCCACCGCAAGCTCGAACATTCTCCAGCCGAAGCTGGGTTTAATGAAATACTTCCTTGGCCGAGTTTGTGGTTCGTAGCCTAGATGAGAAGCCACTTGACCTCGGCAATCTACCCTTGTCCCTCAATGTCTCAGGTTACCACTTGCCAACTTGGCCAAAGAGCCAACTGGTAACTTCTGGGTAGAATATGGCAAAGGCGGCACCAAACCAAACACCCAAACAAATCCCGCGAAAGGCCGAACATCTTTCTGGACAGCTTGAGAGATGGATGCTACCTGAAAAGACCTGGTTGGCGAATAGGGGCGTCCCAGTTTAGACAGGATCCGTTCATTCAACTCCGCCTTTTCTGGAGAGCCATTTAATTTTGAAAGGTCTTTTGTGAGGTGCTGAGGTCACACCAAAGACCGAACTGCCGTGTATTCTGCTTGATCGTTTATCCCGCCAACTGACGGGGGCAAGACGCTGGAAGAAGGCTCAAGCCGACTGGGAGGTGAAGCTGACAGACCCATGGGTCTGGGAGCAGAATCATCCAACCAAAAACAAGCAATCAAGCGCTGCGATGTCTTGATAATTTGCCCAGATTGGTGGTTCATGTTGGGTCCCGTTTCGAACCATCCCTCTAAAGTTCAATCCATCTGGGTGTTTCTGAAAACTACCCCTCCAGGTATTGGGTTTCATTTCGGTGTTCCTTTAAAAACGCAACCAACACTTGGTTGCTGTTGACCCCCTTGCAAAAAGTTTAACGTTGTGGGGGTTTAGTGGAAAACACCTTTATTTCCCAAAAAGTTAAAGTGTAAAGATCCAACCCAATAGCAGCCAAGAACAAAGGGTCCACGATTTCGAGAAGCTCTCATCTGAGCACACGCGTGGCATGCTCCGCCTTCTCCATGGTAAGGTGCAGCTGCTCCCGCACCTCCCCCGCCTAGCGGAAGCTCATGGACAAAGAGGCCAGGAAGGGTGTGTCACTTGATTTTAATACCACGTTCTTCCTTGGTTTAAAGGGACACCAGACTGAACACCACCTTTTATACCTTTTTGAGGTTCCCCTATTTTGACCCATGCCCATATTTGAAGCTTGGAGTGACGCTGCGAGGAGCCTCCGTCACACCGTACAAAATGGGAGCTGGCAAGCAAACATGCCAAAATTGCCGGGATCCTTGGGAAACCACCCGGCAAAAACCACCATTGTTCCTGATCGCGCAAGCTCCGCTCTTGGTTCTTGCAAACTTCCAAAGTCCTCACAGACCCTCCACGCTGCATCCAGAGCTTCCGAACTTGGGAAACCACAGGGCGAGGAACCGCGAGGAACCCTTGCAACTTTCGGTCAAGAGAAGTATGCACAGTAAATGGGCGAGACACGAGTCCCAGGGTCCTGCAAGTCGCCCCGTGGCACCCACCTTCTATCCCGAGCGGTTTTGTTTGAACCCGTTTGAGGTTGGCACGTGGAACCAAAGGGAACTTTGGGTCTCCGATTTTGACACAGAATGCGTAGTCATGTTTTACGCCAGATGGCACCATTCCACCAGTTTGGTATAGTCTTCCCCGTTTAGCAAGAAGGGAAGTGCAGCTAACCACTTTCACCCAACTGCGTCGGTTTGTTGAGGGTGCTTATTTGGGGTGGGAAACAAAAGGACCCCCTCCCGAAGGGTTGCCCTTCGACCCCGCATGGCCGACCGCCGATGCACGGCCTCCGGGTTTGCGTTCTTGGAGCCGTCACTATGCACCGCGGTGGCCACACTACCCTCCGGTGCCTCGCGGAAGAAACGTGAACGGCATCGATCGATCCCTTTGCATGCTTGATGTGTTGGTCGTGTCGGTTTGTTGGTTGGGTCGCGTTGGTTGTGTTGGTTTGTGTTGGCTGCTGCTTGCATGTTTGATTCGGGGTTCGTATCACGCCTTACTTGGTAAGTGTTGTTTGATTTATGGTTGGTCGTTGGCCACGTGCATGCACTCAAAAGGGTTCCCGCCCCGGAACACCGTTTTTGGATTTCCATTTTGCTGGTAGTTGATTTCCAAAAAAATCAACACCAGAAGCACAAGGCACAAGATATCATGGAGGTCTGTGCTTTCTAACAGGGTCCCCCAAAAGGAATTCAATGTTAATGCTATGTCTTCGAATTGACAATGGAAAAAAAAAACAAAAAAAAACTAGAAAGACCCCTTTGCGCATTGCAGGTACCTTCTTGCAATTGGGTCCCTTGAATACTCATGTCGGAAACTGGGGTGGGGGGGTGGGGGAAATCTTTGGTCATCTCTTGGATATGTCGGAAACTTGGGGGAAGCGTGCTTGTTTCTGAACTGGGTTCTTCAGGGCCGACACCATTTGACCCCTCAATGGAAAAGCAGGTACTTGTTTTTGAACTGGGTTCTTCACGGCCGAAACCATTTGACCCCTCAATGGAAAAGCACGTAGCACCTTTTGGCGCATCCTCGGAAATTCAAGAAAAGGACCCTTGTTTGGATGCGTCGGTGAAGGCTAGTTGACATGCTTGAACATCACGCGGTAGCCCCCTCTCAAGGAGGCCCCGGCACCTACCTGCTTGTGTGATCGGCGGCCTGTACCCCGTAGGCTGGAGCGGCCGGATTCAACTTCAAGTCGCACCCCATCTGACGGGGGAAAAAGCAAAGGAAACCAACCATTCTTGGACTAGGCCCTGCCATCCTCTTTGGGCTAAAGGGGAGTTATTCTTGGGAGGACGCCCCCACCGCGCCTGGGTTGGGAACTGCAGCAGATTGGAGGCCGCCTGGTTCTTTGCGCGCGCACAGAAGCTGCCCCCACTTTTGATCACTTCATTGGGCCAGACTTTGACTTGAAAGGAGAACGACGAAGGAAAACCAAATCTAGAAAACAGTCAGGATGCGACTTTGGTGGATCCACCACAGTGGGATATGAACAAGTACTAAAAGAGTACTAAACAAAACAACAACAGGGGGAGGACCACGTGGAATTCCGCAGAACGCGCATCCAAACTGCTTCCTAGACCAAAAGGGCAAAAAGTTAAAGAGGTAATGAAGCTAAGTCAGGCAATGTTCAGGTGGACTTAAGTTGAATAGTGAAATACCCATTGAAGTGATACTCTTCAAGTTATTTTGCAGTCGCAACAGCTGTTTTGAGAGCTGCCCCAATATGGGCGCCTCAATCTTGAGGGTCAGTACTCCTTTTGGGAGGGGACAAAAGGCGACTGCAGGGTCAAATGGAAAGGACTCCAGTTTCACCACACGTTTGAGCAGAGCACCCAACCCGAACTGAACTTCTGCTGAGGTGGACATAAAGATTTAGGAGACACTACAACCCTCATGCAACCAAGTAGTAGAACCACCTACTCCACACATTCGCAAGCGAGATCGAAGCCCCCCCCACCCCGAAGAGTGACCCCGACCCCAATCCATGCTCTTCCTGAGTGAAACAGTGTTTCTCACGGCTTTTGGTGAGAGACATGTGATGGCCTTACCTATCCCATAAACAAACAGAACGACCAAAACAACCCAAAAGGGAGGACAACCGAGTAAGCCAAGGCCGAACCCTACTCGAACCCTGCTTGGCAAAAAAAATCCCACATGCAAGTAAGTTTGCAAAGAAACCATCTCAAGTAGAACCACCAACTAAAATGGCCAACGGGTGGTTCTTTGGGTGCCGAAAGGGAACATACTGGAACCTCTTCAAAATTCTTGGCCTTGCCCACAAAACTGTTGTTTCACCCTAAGGGCTTCTTCAGAGGCTCACAAGAAAGTTCCCCAACAAAGGGAATCCGCAGGAATCCGTCCACCAAGTTTCTAGCATTGGGCATCGTCGTTTTGGAGTGGTTCGGAGCAACAAGGGGAGATCGGCCGGGATCCCGTTTCAGCTTCTAACCCTAGCCCCAGAAGGAAATTTGGCATGCACCTCTTGTGGTGGCCACATTCAATTTTATCTTCCCGGGGTGGCTTGGAGGTAGTGGAAAACGCCTCAGAGAGCGCGCCTGACCCGCCGAGGACGTCTCTAGGTCCATGGTGACCACACTGTCCGCCTTGACCGCCTGCCCGGAGCGCGCAAAGCGGCAAATTCCTAGGTGGAGCCTTAGGCTGCATGGCAACCCTTTTACTTTTCAGGGATCCCCAAAAGATACGCTTGAAACCTGCCGGACTTACAAAAGCACTGTCCACATCAACATGATTTTCATACTCCAGGAAAGACTCCAACATTTGAGGAGTACCGCCCATGTTGCCCAATACCTGGAGTTTCCAATACGGGCGTACTCCATCCACAGGGGGACCTTTCCCCTGTGTTCGAGGGATCCTTCTTTCTGCGAAACCACCAAAAACCAAGCAATCGGCTGGAACGATGGTGGGCAAGAATGGTTGGAATCAACACCCAGAACAGGTTGAGGGCCATGCCCCCATGTTGTTGAAGGATATTCGAGGCTTCACCGCCTCTCACCACCCGTGCCTAGAAAATCCCAAAGGTGCCAGGAGAAAACATGGGCCCGTCTTCATTGGTGCCCCTTTAGATCGCCTCTTTGCGGGTTCCCTTCAGGCCGCACTTCCATAAATGGAGCATGAAACCCTTCCGGGTCCCTTACGGCTCCCCATTTTCCCACCGTAGAACCTGAACGAAACGCACTCGCTCGGGGCTGCAGGGCCCTGAGGCCTTGTCGCGTTGGGCCCTTCCCAGCGGAAAAAAAACAAACAGGGGTCACTGGATTGCCCCGTAAGTCGCAACCTACTTGACTTACTTGTGGTTTCCATTGAAATTGCCACTTTACAAAGTGGAAATGGAGGACCCCCTGTCAAACCTCTTAAGGAGACATCCAGTACCGCCTTGTCCATGGCAAGCTGCACTTGCTCCCTCAGCGCAGCATCCTCCTTGGCCTCGATCAACGAAAAACGCGTACCACCGGTTTCGCTCGACAAACAAATGTAAGAATCTGCCCATTACAATGATGCCAACACCTCAAATAAGGGATCCTCAGAAAGTGGCCTACATCATGTTTCGGGTGTGCTCGGATAAAATAGACAGAGCCCATAACTCCAATCACAGCCCATTCCAGTGCAACACAGCCAGTGGGCAAAGCCCAAGTTTCGTAAGTTGCAAAAGCAACGTGAAGGCAAAGCTGAACAAAACTCGCTTGTTCCAAATGGCATTGCTTCCGCGCTTGCTGCGCCTGCATGAACTCCGGGTCTAGGCGTACTTTTGGAGAGATTGGCAACTGTATATGTTTAAAACCAGATGCATCTAGTCTATGCCCAACCAAGCTGACCTGAATCGACACCTACACTTGAGTCGATTCCCTTCAAACTTGCATGGATGTATCAACCCTTCCGCGAAACCTTCCGCGAAGCTCCCGCGGTGTGAAGGGTACCTTCCGCAAGCATGTTTCTAGGTAAGTTTGTACAAGTGCTTCCGGCCTTCTGCAGGCATGCTTCTGGAAACTGAGGAAGGTAGCTCCCGCCAGGGAATTCGTGTGCACGGTTTACTTGTAAATGTGCTAGGCAACAACCACCCAACCGAAATCAAACTCTTCTGTGCGCTTCCGCGAGCTTCCGCAGGAAAACAACCTGCAGCGCTACCTATTTTGTTGATATGTCAACATCTATACATGTTTGCTTGAGCGAACCCCACTCAGTTGGATTAAGGTAGCTGACACAGGTCGCCCACTGTTGGTAAGTGAAGGGGAATAATGGAATCTACAAGTGCGAGATGTACTAATTGTCCAGTTTCACGCAGGTGCATGACTATGGGCTCTACCAGCGTGCCTATGAATTTCAAAAGGCAACCACCTCAAACATCACACCCACATGTTGTCAAAGGCCGTTCTGGCGGATCTTGGCCCAAAGCAGGCAGCGCAGGCGCCACTGACGAGGTCTCCAACTCTGCCGTAGCAACACTGTCCGCCTTGATTGCCTGGCAGCTCCACTCGCCACTCCCGCCTCACCCACCTCACCCACCTCACCCACCTCACCACCTTGCACAGCCCGCCCAGCTGTGGCACTCGCTGCGCTCCGGCTCGCCTTGTCCATGGTAAGCCGCACTTGCTCCCTCAGTGCGGCATCCGCCTCCAGCAAAAACGTGAACGACTCCGTAGAAATAAATCCAGGTGGTATCCCCAACAGCAACCCGCAACCGCTGGATTCCGGAACCCTAGCCCATACCCACTCCGAGAAGCGGAGACTCCAAGCTTTCAGCTGGTGGGGAAAAACCATCTTTGTTGACGCAACACGTTTCACGATGCATGTCATAAGCAAAGCTTGTGTCGACACCTGGAGTCGTCCATGCTCTCCCAAAATGCCGATATGATCCCTGCTCGTTTCACTCCCAGTTTGACTAGACACCGCAGGGTATCCCCCAAAGCCATTTCGGTGTGTCACAGCTGTTGCGCGCACATTTGACAACAACACGCCCAGCCTCCATCTGACTCTGACCTCGAGACGCGACTTGAGCGCCGACGCAAAGTCCAGCACTGCAGAAAGGCAAATCCAGTTCCTTTCCAGAACCAAGGAATACACAACTCACCTTTTGAACAACCAAAATCCGCCGACCCCCCTGCCTGCAAGGGGAAGGCGCTGGGGGAGTGTTCGTTTAGCGTTGGAGCGTGACTGTGGCAGCCTTCTCCCTTCCCTTTCGCCCTCGCCCGTTCAGCCCTGTACCTTACCAGCCTTCTTTCTTTCACTTTTTTCTTGTTCTTCTTCGTTTCTTTTCTTTCCTTTTCCTTTCTGCTGCCGGCGCACTCCTTTGGTTGGCGCTCGCTGTAGACAAACGAGTGCGGCCTGGAAAAGCGGGAAGCGAAGCTTTTGTGGCTGGCCGCTCCCTCTGGACCGATAGCCTTGCTGCATATTGGACTCAAACGCGACGTTAGGCACCCGGCCGCGGCGGAGCAGGCAGCCGGCGCACTCCTTTGGTTCGTGCTCGCTGCGGCGAAGCGAGTGCGGCCTCCAAGCGCGCTGGACGCAAAGCTGTTCTTGCTGGTCGCGCCCTGGGGACCGATAGCTTTCTACTTTCTATATAGGATTCAAAAGTGACGTTCGGCACCCGGCCGCGGCGCACCAGCCGGTCTTGGCAAGACGCACAGCAAACCCAAAGGGATGAAAGACCAGGGAGAGGCAAACTGTGACAGACGCAGGCGCACATGGGCATGGACAGGCCGGGGATTGAACCCGGCCCCTCTCGCATGCTGAGCGGGTGTGATGCCACTACACCAACTGCCCCTGAGCTGAGCAGGCCGAGAGTGCTCAACTACCTGCTGCGCACAGCTTTCAGCGCTGAAGCTCTGTCACGGCCAGCCCGTTCGCAGCCTGCTCCGCCGCGGCCGGGTGCCTAACGTCGCGTTTGAGTCCAATATGCAGCAAGGCTATCGGTCCAGAGAAAGCGGCCAGCCACAAAAGCTTCGCTTCCCGCGCTTTTCCAGGCCGCACTCGTTTGTCCACAGCGAGCACCAGGTTTGCGCCCTGGGGACCGATAGCTTTCTACTTTCTATATTTTCTATACTTTCTACTATTTCTATATAGGATTCAAAAGTGACGTTCGGCACCCGGCCGCGGCGCAGCAGCCGCCCTTGGCAAGACGCACAGCAAACCCAAAGCGAGAAAGACCAACGCAGGCGCACATGGGCATGGACAGGCTGAGGATTGAGCCCGGCCCCTCTCGCATGCTGAGCGGGTGTGATGCCACTACACCAACTGGTCCTGAGCCGAGGCCGAGAGTGCTTTCCGCGCTGAAGCTCTGTCACGGCCAGCCCGTTCGGCCTCTTTTCTTCCTTTCTGCTGCCGGCGCACTCCTTTTGGTTGGTGCTCGCTGTGGGCAAACAAGTGCGGGCTTGCCCGTTCGGCCTCTTTTCTTCCTTTCTGCTGCCGGCGCACTCCTTTTGGTTGGTGCTCGCTGTGGACAAACGAGTGCGGCCTGGACCAGCGCGGGAAGCGAAGCTTTTGTGGCTGGCCGCTCCCTCTGGACCGATAGCCTTGCTGCATATTGAGCAGGCTGCCGGCGCACTCCTTTGGTTCGTGCCAGGGATAGGCAAACGGTGCCAGACGCAGGCGCACATGGGCATGGACAGGCCGGGGATTGAACCCGGCCCCTCTCGCATGCTGAGCGGGTGTGATGCCACTACACCAACTGCCCCTGAGCTGAGCAGGCCGAGAGTGCGCAACTACCTGCTGGGCACAGCTTTCAGCGCTGAAGCTCTGTCACGGCCAGCCCGTTCGCAGCCTGCTCCGCCGCGGCCGGGTGCCTAACGTCGCGTTTGAGTCCAATATGCAGCAAGGCTATCGGTCCAGAGGGAGCGGCCAGCCGAAAGGAAAAGGAAAGAAACCAAAGGAGTGTGCCGGCAGCAGAAAGGAAGAAAAGAGGCCGAACGGGCGGGCCCGCACTCGTTTGCCCACAGCGAGCACCAACCAAAGGAGTGCGCCGGCAGCAGAAAGGAAGCAAAAAGGCCGGACGAGCGGGCCGTGACAGAGCTTCAGCGCTGAAAACTGTGCCCTGCAGGTGCTTGAGCGCTTTTCCAGGCCGCACTCGTTTGCCCACAGCGAACACCAACCAAAGGAGCGCGCCGGCAGCAGATAGGAAGAAAAGAGGCCGCTGGACGCGAAGCTGTTCTTGCTGGTTTGCGCCCTGGGAATCGATAGCTTTCTACTTTCTACACTTTCTATACTTTCTACTAATACTATTTCTAACTAATACTATTTCTATATATAGGATTCAACAGTGACGTTCGGCACCCGGCCGCGGCGCAGCAGCCGCCCTTGGCAAGACGCACAGCAAACCCTAAGCGAGAAAGACCAACCCAGGCGCACATGGGCATGCACAGGCCGGGGATTGAACCCGGCCCCTCTCGCGTGCTGAGCGGGTGTGATGCCACTACACCAACTGCCCCTGAGCTGAGGAGGCCGAGCGTGCTCAACTACCTGCTCGGCACAGCTTTTCGCGCTGAAGACCCACCCGCTCGGCCTTTTTTCTTCCTATCGGCTGCCGGCGCACTCCTTTGGTTGGCGCTCGCTGTGGGCAAACGAGTGCGGCCTGGAAAAGCGCTCCAGCACCTGCAGGGCACAGTTTTCAGCGCTGAAGCTTTGTCACGGCCCGCCCGTTCGGCCTCTTTTCTTCCTTTCTGCTGCCGGCGCACTCCTTTTGGTTGGTGCTCGCTGTGGACAAACGAGTGCGGCCTGGAAAAGCGCGGGAAGCGAAGCTTTTGTGGCTGGCCGCTCCCTCTGGACCGATAGCTTTGCTGCATATTGGACTCAAACGCGACGTTAGGCACTCGGCCGCGGCGGAGCAGGCTGCCGGCGCACTCCTTTGGTTCGTGCTCGCTGCAGCGAAGCGAGTGCGGCCTCCAAGCGCGCTGGACGCGACCTGGGGACCGATAGCTGTCTACTTTCTATATAGCACTCCTTTGGTTGGTGCTCGCTGTGGGCAAACGAGTGCGGCCTGGAAAAGCGCTGAAAACAAGCAAACAAGCAAGCAAGCGAGCAAGCAAGCAAGCCAGCAAGCCTGAACCAGCCAAAAGCCGCTGACAGAACAAAAAAAACCTGGGCTGGCCCCCCAGCGGAGGGGTCGGCGGCACTGGGCGGCAGCCCTTAAATAATATCAAATGAGTAGTAAGGTCGACTCTGGGCTGAGCTGTCCTTTTTCCGTGCCAAGAACCAACAACTCGGCACTTGGCATGTACCTAGTTGCACTTCTTGCAAGATAGCTCCAAGCTGACTTGAATTGCTCTTCGCAAGCATTTGAGCTACTGTCTACCTATTCTGAGCCTGTAATGGACCGGCTTCCCCCTACTCTGCGGAAGTTTTGCATGCTCCTCGAAACTTGGACCATAGACTTCAGGAAATGCTGACCAAACCTCAGGTGGCTGTGGTTCAACCATGGGTACCCCAAATAGAACCCTAGTAAGTGGAAACATGGATCAAAACCTGCGGTCCCCTGGTGGTTTAAAAATTTGACCCATACCCAGGTCGAAATTGGAACCTTTGCCGCCCAGCTGCATGGAAGGACGGCAGCGGGGGCTTGAGATCCCGGAACCAAACAAAAGCGAGAACCCCTAACATAGGGGAAGCCATGGGGCTCCGCGCAAGAACATCACTACTATTGAAGAACCATTCTCAAATCAAGCTGCTTCTTCCTAAAGGTGTTTCAAGCTACCCCGAACATTTCCATGGGGGCACACTTATTTTGGTTGCTCCAAAAAATAGGTTGACAAAAAATGGCGCGCAGCTCGCAACACATTTCGCTGGGCTTCGGGCTGGGCATCGTGTCCTGCGAAGCTGGTCCCGAAGACCACCCCCGTCCACCCCCCAAACCGCGTGTGGGGGTTTGTCAAAAGAAGGAAATCGGTACCCCCCAAAAAAAGGCTGGTTCCATTTTAGAATCTATTCAAATATCAACCGAAAGGGGGGTCCACCATCTTGTGGAAACCGTATGGCGCGATCCATTTGGATCAAACGATAGCCATCCGTGGTGGCAGATTCAACAAAAACCGGACGAAACTGGCTTGGTCCTAAAGGGTAGCTGAGAGGGACTGGGACGTGGGGTCTATTTTGCTTTTGCTTGGCCACCTGCTCTTTTGCGTACTTGTATTGGTTGTTTAGGCCAACTAGAGTCTAAGTGTCCATGGCAGCCTTTGAGAGAAACAACCGTCGAGCTTCGCTGTTGACAAGACAAAGATACTGCAAACCATCCTATGAGCCACGGTCAAAACTACTGGCTTCCCCAAGTGGACGTGGGACAACTATTAGGATCCCTGGCTTTGGCCCCCGCATCATGTTTTCGGACATGCGGGCACCATGTTTCCAGAAGCCTGGGTGAGTTGGGCGGGTCACACGGTTAGTGCATGTACTGATTCAGAGCCACAGCAAGGGGAACAGTTTCGAAGAGCGCCTAGTAGTGACTATCGGGCACAACCATCGAGAGCGATACCCTGCCCATGGCTTCCCTTATGGCTCTGAATCAACTTTGGTCCTGGCGGAATCCTTTCATAGAGGCATTCTCCAAGGTTTCGGATCAAGGCCAAACTGGGGGCTTGTGTCATGGACCCGCCAACCCCCAACCCCTCCCAACCATGTTTCTAGAAACCTGGGTGGGTTGGCGTGTGCATCCTAACAGTACAGGCATTCGACGTCATTTCCAATCCTTGATGATGGTCTCCACGAGTTGGTCCACCACGTGTTGCTCCGCTGCCTGATGCCCACGGGTCGAATCAAGGGCTGAACCCCGCCCCCATTGGCTCAAACCCACACAGCCCATACAATCCTAAGCACTTGGCCACTGAGCGCCTTTCGACTGGTTTTCCCGCAAGGCCCGCTGAAAATCAAGGTGACAAGCAGATGTCAAGTGCATATTGCTATATACCCCCAGTGTAACAATAAGAGGCAAACACATTATCACATTACTCTCTTATTATCATGACTCGTGTTGCTTTTGACGCTCGACAGAACCCCATTCATGTTGTTTAGGCCCATACAGTACTGGGATAAACGGGAAGGAGCTGGCTTGGTTGGTTTGTTATTGAGGGAGATCTACCCCAAGACAGGGCGGTCTCTCCCCCCCCTCTTGGGAGGAGTTTGGCACACATCCAAACGGATCGCTGATAGGGGGCTTCCCTCTTTGTCCAATAAAGTCGTTTGAAAAGAACCGCCCTGCTTGCTTTTGTTCAAAGAAAATCCTGTGATGAAGGGACACCCAAATTTGTGTTGTTTATTCCTTCGGCTACACCTGGTTTGCTTTCATCCGGAGCGGCCCCAAAAAAGGCACAATGAAATCAAAAGGCTAAACGAACACCTGTCTAGTTCGTTGAAGGGAACATGGGTCCGTCCCCATGTTTCCCTTGGTTTTGAACGTCACCTTGTTTGCCCGTTGAGTTTTTCTTGAGACTTTTAGGTGCCTGGCCCGAACCCCTCGCCCCCCCGAAACAAAAAGACAGAAACACGCGAAAGCAGTGGGCACCTGGTGCTGCGGGTCCACTTCCTAAGGCGCAGCCGCGAAGGATTCCTTCCTTTTCCCGTCAACATTCAGCCCCCAAACCCAGGATTGAAGTAAATTAGTCAAACAGATGTTTGGTTCATTTGGGTAATCAAAAGAAAAACAAAAGGAAACAAAAACGCTGGAGCAAATCGCGGGCTTTGGTCTTTGTTTCCACAAGGTGCCATTGCGGGTACCACTTTTTGAGCCACAGCCATTTGGGTGTGAATTTGAACAGACTTTGTTGTGTGTCTTTTTTTAGGAATCGGACCCCCACAATGGCGGGGCCTGCTTCTGGTTTCTCTTTAAAAGCACCCCAAAGGGCTACCAAGCGTCAAAAGAAGACACCCGCTTGTTTGTGTGGACAGCAATCTTAGGTGGGGATTCGCGTCTAAAAGAGAACTTTGAGTTGGCTCCATGTGAAATTCATAGCCGTCTTGGTCAAGGGCAAAGATGTATAAAAGATGTTGCCAACCGAAGACGCCTGAAGGCATCTGGAAGATCAATTTCATCTTGAACCCCCTGCTAGGCTGGGGGAACAACCAAAGGTGCTTGCTGCGCAAACCAAATTGGCTGAAAGGAGACCAAGAACTGTTGAATTTTCGCCCCACGGATAAGCCTTTTCGCCTTTTCTGGAGAGGGTCGGCAGACCTTTACAAGGTGGGTTCTTGATTTTTTGTTTTTTTTTTGGGGGGGGCCAGGAAGCTGGAAATGAAGCCCCGCAAAACAAGCATTGGTGTATCTTTTTTGGGGTGTACCCAGGTTTTTTTGGTTAAAGGAACACCAAAATTAAAAACCGCCCTTTTGGGGGTCCCCAAAGAACACACACCCAAATGAACCCAGAAATAGGCGTCGGCAGTCCTTCACATCAGGCGTCGGCCTTTTGAGTCTGACGGTACCGATCAAACCCCAAGACTTCCCATCGAACAATCATCAAAATCATCCCCAGGCGGGAAACAAATGAACAATTTTCAAGCCAATCATCAGGGTTTGGATTTGGATTTGAAGCAGTGGGTGGCAAAAGGGAAACCACCCCGGAACACCTCTACACCACCAATCCAATTCACCAATTAGAGGGAAGCCGAAAACAAACAAACAAACATACATACATACATACAAACATACAAAACAAGGCGCAAAAGCAACAGGCACACCCCCACTCATCCACGTTTATTAATCCGGGGTTCCCATTTGAGAAAACAATGAGAATGAAGGAGTGTAATCGGGGAACTCTTCCCGCTTCCGCCTCCACGCGCGTGGAAGCACCCTGCGCTTGCAGCGCGTGCGACATGGAGCCCGAAGCCTTTGTCTTTCAAAGGGCTCAAAACGAGTCATGCCCAAAACCTGGTACCTTTGGTGAACCCAAAAACATGTGAGTTACCAAGGCGACCGCAGCCGCACCTATTTATGGTGGGGACTGCCCCTTTCTAGCCTCCACATACCGGTGTATCATTGTGGCTCACGAAGCTGTGCCATAGTCAAAACTCCTCTCCTACGGTTGTGACAGACCCCCCCGACAGGGAATTTCCCAGCGAGTCAACCTCTTCATGGCTCTTGCTGCTTGAACATGGTGGTCTGAAGCCACCAAAGGATTGACATTGATGAATGTCCGTAGGTCTTCGACCCCACATATTTTGGGTATGTGTCAGAAGAAAGGTTGCCAATGCATAGGCAGCCAGCATGAAACCAAGCGAGGGGAGGCGACCCTACCCTACCCGAGGGGAGGCGACCCTACCCTACCCGAAGGTTGAAGGAAAAATAATGATCAGTGGCCAGCCAAAAGGCCATGATTCGTGATGCTTGAAACACCGAACATGGAAAAACGCGGCAGAAGCCGGAGATAAGTTATGTGGATGTTTGGCAGAATCATGGCCCCGCTTGGCACCCCCTTGCAAGAGGCCCAGGAGAGCACGAACCTGATGAGGCTGGAACAAACGCAACCAACCAATCTACCAGCAAGCAACCAAGCAAGCAACAGGCTGAACATACAACCGGTGATTTTGAAGGAGCCTTCCCTTAATCTCACGCCTCCTGCACCGGCTGGAGCCCGTACCTGAAGTGTCGATGCCAAATGAAGGGTAAGCAATGTTCCTTGCCCCAAAATGACCATGAGTAACTCTTGGCATTTAGTGGTACAAGCTAAATTTTTCGGTTGTTTCCCTGGTTTTACGTCGTGATTTCAAATTCCACGGTTACCTCGAATATACTATGTACCATATGGTTCCGTGTTCCGTGTTGCTACCCCCCCCCCCAGATGGTATGGGTCCCCCAGGACCCCCCCCGCTTCCCGGGCCCAGACGCCGAGCCCCGGATCCTGGCACCTACAGTCCCGCCCCCACCCCCAGGACAAGCCAACCCGCAACCAACCATAAACCAACCCTAAACTAACCCTAAACACACCCTAAACCAAACCCGAAACCGTAAACCTCTAAACCTAAACCAATCCTAAATCAACATAAACCAACCCTAAAACCAAACCCAAATCAACATAAACCAACTCTAAACTAGCCCGAAGCCAACCGAACAATACACCCTCACCCAAAACCAAACCCTAAACCGTAAACCTCTAAACCTAAACCAACCCTAAAATTAACCCTAAATCAACATAAACCAACCCTAAACCAACCCTAAGCCAACCCTAAACTAACCCTAAATACACCCAAAACCAAACCCCAAACAATAAACCCTAAACCTAAACCAACCCTAAAACCAACCCTAAATCAACATAAGCCAACCCAAAACCAACCCTAAACTAACCCTAAATACACCCTAAACCAAACCCTAAACCGCAAACCTCTAAACCTAAACCAACCCTAAAACCAACCCTAAATCAACATAAACCAACCCTAAACCCACCCTAAACTAACCCTAAATACACCCTAAACCAACCCGTAAACCGTAAACCTCTAAACCTAAACCAACCCTAAAACCAACCCTAAATCAACATAAACCAACCCTAAACTAACCCAACAATACACCCTAAACCAAACCCTAAACCGTAAACCTCTAAATCTAAAGCAACCCTAAAACCAACCCTAAATCAACATAAACCAACCCTAAACCAACCCTAAACTAACCCTAAATACACCCTAAACCAAACCCTAAACCGTAAACCTCTAAACCTAAACCAACCCTAAAATTAACCCTAAATCAACATAAACCAACCCTAAACTAACCCAACAATACACCCTAAACCAAACCCTAAACCGTAAACCTCTAAACCTAAACCAACCCTAAAACCAACGCTAAATCAACATAAACCAACCCTAAACCAACCCTAAACTAACCCTAAATACACCCTAAGCCAAACCCTAAACCGTAAACCTCTACACCTAAACCAACCCTAAAACCAACCCTAAATCAACATAAACCAACCCTAAACCAACCCTAAACCAACCCTAAACTAACCCTAAGTACACCCACAACCAAACCCCAAACAATAAACCCTAAACCTAAACCAACCCTAAACCAACCCTAAACTAACCCTAAATACACCCTAAGCCAAACCCTAAACCGCAAACCTCTACACCTAAACCAACCCTAAAATTAACCCTAAATCAACATAAACCAACCCTAAACCAACCCTAAACTAACCCTAAATACACCCTAAACAATAAACCCTAAACCTAAACCAACCCTAAAACCAACCCTAAATCAACACTAAATCAACATAAACCAACCCTAAACCAACCCTAAACTAACCCTAAATACACCCTAAACCAAACCCTAAACCGCAAACCTCTAAACCTAAACCAACCCTAAACCAACCCTAAATCAACATAAACCAACCCTAAACCAACCCTAAACTAACCCAACAATACACCCTAAACCAAACCCTAAACAATAAACCCTAAACCTAAACCAACCCTAAACTAATCCTAAATCAACATAAACCAACTCTAAACTAACCCTAATACACCCAAAACCAAACCCTAAACCAGAAATCCTAAACCTAAAGCAACCCTAAACCAATCCTAAATCAACATACACCAACCCTAAACTAACCCTAAACTAACCATAAACTAACCATAAATACACCCTAAATACGCCCTAAACACATTCTAAACCAAACATAAACCAACCGTAAACCAACCCTAAACCACCACAACCAACCACAGGACCACAACCACCGGGGGGGGGGGGGTACTTTTATCTGACCCAGGACCATTGGGGGGGGGGGGGGGGTTGGCAACGCTGTACCATCTGGGCAGAGGACATGATCAATATTGCAACGACCATCAAGGCTTGACCCACACTTGGCGTGTCTCTTTTAGGGGACCCCGCCCAAAAAATGGTGGTTTTCCTTTTGCCCTTCTCTTAAAGCCCCCAACACCCGAAACGACACAAACACACACACACACACACACACAAACATTTCGATGCCCAAGCGCACCAAGTCCCCACCGACGGGCGGAAGTGCCAGCTGTCCTGCGGCATGCGAAGCCACTGGTGGCAAGCTGCTGCAGGGTTGCCCCGAGATGGCGTATGTTGGGAACAAGTGTTTTGACCCTTGTTGGGGGTGTTTAAACCTACAGAGAAGGAACACCACCTTTTTTCGGGGGGTGGGTCCCAAAAAGACAAAGGCACACAAACCGTATGAGCTTGTCGCAAACTGGACCCCCAAAGAATAGGTTGGTTGTGTCCTTTTGTTCCCCACTCTTTTCTACCATCGCTCTTTTCAAGAACCAGAAGCTTGACCTGGGTGTTTTGAGAAAGAATGGGGAAGCTACCTCTACTGGCGGTTTTCCTTTCACGCAATTCACAAAGCGGTGCTCACAAAAGACAACACAGTAGAAGACCCCCCTTTCAGATGCTGTTCCATTGAAACGCACAAGAAACAACAACCCTGATCGAATTCACGGTGACTTGTTTGGCTTCTTGCAACCCCCACAATTCCTGGAATGGTGCTTCTGCTGGCACAAATGTGGTGGCGGTGGACAGAGTATGGTAGGGCCCCAACAGAAAAGGAAGTCGCCAAATTTGGGACCCCTGGTACGTTAGCAAGCAAATGGCCTGTTTTGGCGCAGCCCCCCTTCTCGACACACAAAATTTGAAAACCCAAAGATCTAGACATCTACCAGCAACCTCCAGCGGCTGTTTTTGGAAGCAATGCTTTGAGTTTGGGGACGGTATGGGACGGTGAAACAGCAGGGCTTACTGGGTTCTGAAACACCTTGGTTGTTCCCAGGAAAGTTTCACAAGGCTCGTTTCCCTGGCTCTCGTTCACCAGGTCACTCTGAGGAGATCCACATGGCAGTGAATCTTGATGAACATCCCCCAAGGCTTAGTGGACATAAATCCCCAAATCATGCCAGGCACCCAATCAGCATTCAAAAAATAAAAGCCTAAATAGGAGCAAACTAGTACCTGCACACAAAGGTCCAATGGGGCTTGGAGGACCAGATTCGCACCACACCCCGAAGTGTTTTACGGGTTTCAGTCTTTTTGGGGGCCCACAATCCATCAGGACCCTCGGGTACTGCCCATCCCAAGTTTCCGGCTTCCCTTTCCGATCCTGAGCTGCCGGCCGCGCCTTGGCATGAGAAATGTTGCTCCGAGTTTTGCTGGCCGGCGTTAAAATCGGGGGACCCCCTCAAACAAGTTGTGGCGTCCAATTAAGCCAAGGTGAAGGGTACCAAGTCCAACTACCAGGGTAGACTTAAGCCCGGGGTCGATTTTCCAAATGCAAATCTGGATGGTAAGTCCACCCAAACGCCTCTCCGCTCTGTGAGCGGTCCGAATCTGTGGTGCGCATGACGGACATGGAAACAAACAGGGGCTCGTCCAGTGGCTGTGGAAAGCGCAGGGTTCGTCCGCCTTCTCGTCCATCCATGAACAATATAGACTATGTGGATGTTCATGCTTTACGGGTGCTTTTCTTTTTGGGGCGGGGGGGGGGGGTGGAAACCATTGGGAAACCTGCCAAAACTGAGTGGGTTGTCTCAATGTTTGACGACTGAACCTCCGCTCCGTTCACCGGGGGACCGGCCGCTCTTGCGCTGTCGACCTCCATAGTGATCACACTGCCCTCCCGCATGGCCTTCGAAGTCGACGGGCAAGAACCAAACATCAACCTGTTGAGTCTTTTGAGCCTTGACGTGAAGAAACTATTCAAGCTTACAGTTTGGTACAAATTAAGGGGGTTGCGAAGGGAAAGTAAGACAGCTATGATGTAGTGACTGGAGGGGCATCTCATCTCAAAGCGGGGGGGGGGGCCAAGTGTGACGGTCGTCAAAGGCCACAATGAAAAAGATTCAAAACCCAACCCCAGTCCTACAAAGGCCTTCCTGAAATGCCACAACGGCAACACGTCACGATTCAAGGGGTAGAAGCACTTATATGGTGTGTTGATTCCCGGAATATTGCGAGGGAAGAAAAACCATATAATTGTTGAGTGTCTCTGAGTGATCTGTTTGCAATATTGGGGGAATCCACCGTAGCGTCCCCATTGACTTTAGAGGTGGGCATGCTTGAAGTTGTTGCTGGAAGAAAGGATTGCATTCAAAGGTACCCTGGACTCATAAGGGAGGTATTGAAGTGCTGACTGACTGCTGCTGGCTCCCTTGAAGGGAATACAGGGGCCAAACAAAACCTGGGACACGAGGAATCCACAGAGTTGCCCTGTGGAACAATGTTATGTGGGTAACCAAGGGTAATTACCCGTTAAATGGCAACGGTGTGCCTGGGATCCAGGGAGCCGCAATTTCTGAGCCCCATAAGCGGGGGGGGCTAGTAGTCGAAACTAACACAACTAACCGACTCCCACGTGTGGTTCCCTATACTTCCTGAATTTGCGGTAATCACAACGCCGGAGGCAAACTGACACCCTTTAAGGAGCAATATTAGAAGCCCTGCCTGATGTGCACAATCGTGATGTTGCTCGAAATCGGCAGTTTGGCGGTTTGGGGATTTGACTCCCCCCCCCAGTGTTAAAACCACACGAGAAAGCACCAACCCAACTGCCCTGCCAAATCAACTATCAGGAGAAACAAATTCTGACCTCCCCCACGGAGAGGTTCTTAGAACTGTTCGATCAACACACTAGTCTAAAATTCAGGGGTTCCTGGACAGACAGATCCGACCTGCGAACAGAAGTTTGTTCTCCTCAAAAGAGAACATAAAACCGAAAAGGGCAAAGGGCAATACACCCCTGCAAATCCGCATGAACCCCAAGAAAAGCAAGTTGTATCTGCTATAACTCTTCAAAACAGTTTCAAAAAATCGCGTAGGGGTGACCGGACTCGCTCGTGAGCGCCTGTTCCATGGTGACCTGCAGCTGCTGCATGGTGGCGTTCAGCTGCTCCTTCAGCCACTCTGGCTTGGCCTACGCGCCCGGTGCCAGGACGAAGCTTGTCCAACCCCAAGCCTCAATTTTGTCGGGGCACAAATTGACCTCAAAAAAACCAAGTCTGGGCGACTTTCGAAACTCGTTGCGCGTTCCATTTTTGGGGCCAACCCCGTGTTCAAGCATGCAAAAACACCCTTTGCTTTAAACAAACTCCTTTCGGCTTCGCTTTCAAGGGCACCGAACCTTGTCTGTTTGTCACAAACCAATTGAGCAGCGCCCAAAACCCATGAAGCGTTCGTTCTCACAAACCTGGTCACACGGGCTTCTACAAGCCTGACTCGAGTCAGATAGCTCCTAAAATTGCATTTTTTTTTGTGGGCACGTTCAGGCGGCGCATTTTGCCTCACCTCGAAGCGATCCTCTGGCCTCCGGTGGCGTTTGGCCCCTGGACTCCGCTTGGCTCAGCACGGCCACGCTCTCCTCCTTGGAGGCCTCTGATGAAAGCCCCACAGACTCGCCCCAAGAACCCGACCGAGCCCCCTTAGGGACCCAGAAGGGCACGCCGAAGAGGCTTTCTTTCCCACGGTTTGTAAGGACTCGGAAGTAAAAGCTGGTCACCTTTTGATGCCATGACTGAAAATGGACCAGACAAGAGGCATCAAAAGGTCAAAAGCTTGGCTTTGGGCAAGTGAGGGAACAACGGCTACCTAGCAAGTGGCTCACCCCGGTTACTGTATAAAAACTTGCAACCGTGAAACCAAAGCCTGGGCTTCACAGCCCATCCGAGTCCAAGCCCCCAGTTGCTTTCTCTCCCAAGGTCAGTAGGAAAATGGAGGACCCCTTCCAATATTCCCCGGTTAGATAACTTCAATGAGGACAAACATGTGGGAAAACCTCTTTAGAATGTGTGTGACCATGTTTTCCCCCTTCCTGGACAAGACTGCCTTGGTTTCCTTGAAATAATTTAAATAGACAGGGTCAGGCTGTTGCCACCCCAAAAGCGGGGCTCCTTTCTACACCTGTTTGCGTCTGTGTGTGTGTCTTAGGGTATCCTTTTTAGGTTTCTTTGAAGGAATACAAACAGGAAACCCAGGGGATCTCCCTATTTTGACACGCACCCGTGAGTGTGGAGTCTTCCCCCAGCCTTGAGGGGAATTCGGAATGCCCTGTGGGACATCCCCATGACACCCGGACTTGAAGATCCATCGCTCAAGAGAAAAGCCCATGGGATTTGTAGCAAATCACAACCCCTTCCAACTTCCGAACTGGGAAACATAAGCACTGCAAAAGGGCACCCACCCAACTTCAGGTATCCCCATTTGGCTGTCTTTTTGTAGCGGCCGTGCAGCTGTGCTGAATGGGAACCATAGGAGAATGGCCGTGCCTTATTTGAGCCTCGGATAGCCACGCTTAATATCTATTTTGTCTTCTTATATGACATGGGAATTTGGTGAGCAGCCTCATTACCAAATCGTATTTTGGTGAATGGTTTCGCAGGTCATTCCTTTTGCTGCCGTTGACCATAAATTTTGGACGCCGCTTATTTGAAGACAAACCCAGCAATTTACGAACCACAGTGCCTTCTGCCGGGGCCTTTTTGAGCTCAGATCGGCACACCTTGAAGAAAGTTACACTTTACAGTCCCTTTTCAGGACAAAACGTTCGGTCTAAGGACCACAACCCCTTTAAGCTTCTTCAAACCGCTGTGTGAACAGCCACCCTTCTGGTCTTCCAAAACCGAATCGAGTCCTGTTGAAACACAAACTGTGTCATCGACGAACGGCCTCCACCACGCCGGAGTGAACCCGACTCTGCAGCCAGGCCGCCTCGTGAGGATGAGCAACACTGTTCCTCTAAGGGGGTGTCGTTTTGGAGTTGGTACCCCCTGTCTTGTGGTTTAAAGGGAAACCAGCCGGAAAACGGAAGTCATGTTGGGGGGGGGGCGATTCCTAACAAAGCCGTATTTGCGATGGCTCAATGATTTTGGGGCCCGATTCTAAGGTTTGATACCATGGTTATTTTCAACCGAGTACATCTGGGGCAAATCAAAATAGTCAAAGCGGAAATAAGGGACTCCTATGAAAGAAGCCTTCATCGTGGGCGTTGCTGCAAACCCCCAGAAAAGCGACGTCGTGATAATTTGCCCAGAACCCAGATTGGGCTGTCCAAAATTTTGTCCTTGGAAACCACTACAAAGACCTTTGGTAACCCAAGGCAAGAATTTGCAGATTGCCGCGCCGGAAGCCGTTGCGCGCTGCCCTGCGTTCGGCCTCTGGCGGCGTGACGCTGCGGGCATCGCTTTGGTCTATGGTGGCCACGCTGCCCTCTTTGGCCGCCTGGGCTCGGATCCACTTAGCGCAAACCCTTTTAGGGTTTTGAGGCAAAAGGGAAACCGATTTTAGGGGTTCCAGTTCTGGCACACACCGTTTGCAAGTAAGAGCCAGCAAAAAAAATGAAAACGGAAAGAGAATCCCTGCATACCCAACAAATGAAAGCGGGAACATGCGGCAACAGCCCAGCCAACTCCAACGACTGCTGCTTGGACGGGAATTGGGTATTGAAAAGCAGCCGTTGGGTGCTGGGTGATGGAAATGTCCCCTCAACCAACAAAATAACAAGTATTTTCAGCAAATAGAAGTTAGTGAACAGTTAGTGGAATTAAATTCGGGGGGACAGGCCGCGGGATGACGCGGGTATACCAGTTTCTGCATTTTCACGGCAGGCTGGTTTTGTAATGTTTGACACTGCGAGTCAGAGCGAAAACCGCCCAGGATGCTACCTTGCAGTCAAAGAACCCAGCTACAGGAAGATCTACGGAACTCTTACCAACATGTTTTCGGTCCTTTGGGGGCGAAACAGTTGTTTCCTTTCCTCTTGGTGCACGCTTGAAACAGAACCAAATTAGTGTTAAACATAACGCTTTGAATGGTTGGTGCCCGTGTAGGCTGGCAAAATGCTTATTTCAAGCCGCATCTCTTCTCAACTGAACTGACTGTTCGAAGGGCACCTATCCCAAGGGATCCAGTTTTCCAGGCCCAACCTTTAAAATCTAAGTGGCAGATGGCGGGTTACCCACAGGGCGTAAGCGCGATCAACTTGGCACGCTTGCGAACCATTAAAAAAAAATACCCAAAAAAAAACAAAAAAAAACATGAGCCTGGCCTGCTGGAAGCTTTGCAGAAGCCACTCTTCGGAGGCCACCTCTCTCTCTCTCTCTCTCTCGCCATGTGAACTCGCTTGTCAAGTCGGGTAGGGCAACATGCTTTGGGCAGCACGCAGTCATGCGGGCATGAATTCTAATCAGACACCCTTTGGCACCGACCTCCAAGTGTCCTTAATTCACAATCTCCCTTCTCTTCCCAATGAGGTATACTTCACACGCCTGATATAAGGAATTGCCTGGAAACTTTCAAGGGTGAGGTCGAATGCCCCAACTCTGAGGGGAGTCCAAGGCCTGCAAGCCAGGATCTCCGGTAGGGCCGACCTTCTTTTTTTTTTGGGGGGGGGATTGAGCAGACATCGCTTGAGCAGACTTAGACCCTTAATGATTTGCTAGTTGAAGGGGAACATGAAGCAACACCAAAAAGGGGCAGAACAGCAAAAGGTTAGTTAAGAGTTAAGTCTGGCAATGATTGTGGTTGGGCCGGATGATGCCTGCTCCTTCTTAGGTGCAATACCAAGAACAAAACAGATCTGCAACCTCCCAAAGCCCGTGTTTTCGGGTGGCGGGGTTTGATGGGCCTTGTGTGGTTCGCGGTTCGCGTTTGGAGCCTATGGCCACGCTTCCCAAAAAACCACGCCACATGAAGCAAGTTGAACAGGTAAACTCGTCGGGGCACCAAGCGGAAGTTGCTGTCGGAAAGCCAAAGCTCTCCACAGAAACAGCTAAAGTCAGGCAGCGTGGACATTTTATTGGGAGCCCTCTTTTTGTAGGTTCCATGGTAATCACGGGTCTTCTGTAATCGGGAAACTCCCCAAGAAGCCGCGCGGAGTTTCCCCTGGCACCCTGTTCTCATGTTGCTTCCTCCAAAAGATAGAGAAGGCGAATGCCAACCACTTGCCAATGGATCCCGGGGGTTGTGCCCCGCCATTGTCTTTTCAGTCCTTAAATGGTCACTTTGTGCAGGCCTTAAATTAAAGGGAACTTCTTTTTGGGTTTTGGTTCATCAAAGGAAACCACCAAAGGGAACCCCCCCATTTTGGGAGGGTCATATTTCGAGACCCACATGGATCAGGGCCGGCTGGAATTGCATCGGCTCCCTTCCAGCCCGGCGGTTCGGGCCCCGGCCGCGGGCACAGACTCCCGGGCGGTCTCCATCTCCACCGTGGCGACGCTGCCCTCTCGCAGCGCCTGCGAGGGTTTTCGGCCAAATTTCGGGGTCCTCTTTAGTGTCCAACTATTGGGGGGGGGGGGGGAAGGGGAAGGGGTTGCTGAAATTCTCAAATTAAAGCCTTAGCCTTTTACATTGCAAGGGGGGTTCACCTAACCAAATCTCCCCAGCTCGACGGGTAAAGGCCTTGGATCAAGGAAATCAATTTTGCCAGTGGCGGCAAACCATCAAATTTAAGATAACTTCTTTACAAACAAGTAAGGGCAAGCATTCGCACAGAGGGGGGTGCCCACAAGAGGCCCTGATCCTCGTTGATGTGACTGCTTCGGGGTTCTCTTTGGTTTCCAAGCTGTTTGGGGGGTTGCTAAGTAGAATTGGCAATACTAAAGTAAGTACTTGGAATCTGAGAGGGGGCCTTGGCAATACTCTACAGTAGAAGGGCCAATGCTAAAGTAAGTTCTGGGAATCTGAGAGTCAGCCTTGGCAATACTAAAAGTAGAATTGGCAATACTAAAGTAAGTACTGGGAATCTGAGAGTCAGCCTTGGCAATATTAATGTAGAATTGGCAATACTAACGTAAGTACTGGGAATCTGAGAGTCGGCCTTGGCAATACTAAAGCAGAATTGGCAATACTAAAGTAAGTACTGGGAATCTGAGAGTCAGCCTTGGCAATATTAATGTAGAATTGGCAATACTAACGTAAGTACTGGGAATCTGAGAGT